GTAAAAGATAGAATTAGTTTTTACTCTAATGCTTATGGTGATATTCTTATTGCAATGCTTTGTTTAAAAATGGAATCAACAAAGTACCAAAAAGCGTTGATGCAGGTAAAAAAATTGTTGTTATTGTGCCAGTGTTTTGGCGGTCGAAATACAGCAAGGGTTAACCCACCTTGCTCGGGCGGTATGATTTAGCTCTGTCTCGGTACTGGGCACATACTCGTTCTTTTTGATATAATCTGGTCCTTTGATGAAGGACCCTCTCCGCGCCAAGAAGCGGTCCGGCCATCTTCGCGAATAGCCAGGGCCCCGACGGCCGGCTTGGCCCGGCCAAGACGACAGACAAGAATGTTTGGGTGCGAGATTCTGCATCTTACCATCGAACTCGCGCGCGCTGCGGCCGTTAAATCGAAACCAGTTTTTTAAAAGTATATGGCATACGTTACGTACTGCCATCCACCGACCTATAAGAACCTGCGAGCCAACTTTTTCGGCGGACTTTTATTGCTTATCAAGTACTCTGATGCTCTTATCTCGCGTTTATCCAGAAATATGCTGTAATTGAGCAAAGCAAAACTGACGAACCAAATAATGAATGTTTTCGTTATTCCTTGGCTTTTGTGAATAATAATACGAAAAATATGCGAGATTATTTAAATAATAAAGAAAGGGGAAGGAAAATGAATGCTCGGAAAGGAAGTAACTTCAGTCGCGTAACGTACGTTTTAGGCAAAAGCGAAGGTGAAAATTGTAAAAAGTGTAGATAAAAGCAAAGAACCGATTGTCGAGCACGAGTCAAATTGAATAGAGAAGAGATTGAACATTGGTAGAAATGAAATAAATGCCAATGAGCTGTAGAATTGATTCATCGGCATGCCATAGCTCGTGAGTAAGTACACGTTCTTGGGTGTGTGCGCTTTTCAAAGTTAACGCGTCTCATTCTTGCGCTCATATGTGAGAAAAAATCCAAGCTAAGCCTGGAAAAATTCGGGGGTGGCCCTTCGTGTGCATCAGGTGAAACATTGTGTGTCCAAGTTGAAGAATAAGAATTTAAAGGCGGACTCGCGCAAACACCCATACAGCTATAGAGCAGAATCTGGAGGCTCAGAGAAAAAGAGTACCGCTACCGCTTCGTCTGCGCGCGTGTTTGTGTAATACGTACATGTCAAAATGTGCGTTTGCTCGTGTGCGTGCGAGAGCGAGCAAGCGAGTTCGGAGCGAGAAAATTCGATCGTGGCTGCTTTGAGGCACTTTGGCGCGCTTTTTTACCAATACACACACACATACACTTATCCAATATCGTATACGAATACACGCGCGCGTACATACATACGCTAATCTTAGCGTACTACCTGCTGCTCTAGCCGCATTAGTATTTGTGCACGTAGGTGGACGTTAGCAAGACACTTTGCCGCTCGCTCGTGTGTGTGTGTGTATGTTTGCTACCTGTTCTCATGAGCGCAGGAAAAGGTATAGAAATTGGTCGTTGCTCGTACACGAAGGGAGAGAAAAGAGGAAGCTTGTAAGGAGGCAGCTCGCTTTGGCGCCTTCCACGAGGATTCCTTCTTCTCGCGGCTAAAAATCTCTCGGTTGCCTGGGCTCTAGGCCATAACGGAAAAGGAGAGGTATGATTTCCAGGAGAAACCATTCAGCGGGAGAGAGAGACCAAGTACGCTATACATAATATGCCAAGCCACCACCGACGTGAGTTACAATCGGCGCCGCGACTATTATAAAACGTCGCTCGCTCTCTCGTTCTCTATGTACTGTCGCGCTCTGTTTGCGGGTGTAGCCTCGGAAAACGACCTATTCCCGGTCTCTTTTTCTTGGCCTTTTTGACGCGATCGATGGATCCTTATGTACGTGTACACAATCGCGTCCTGCGTAATCTATACGCGGAATGCCCATTCAAAGTACACTCAAAAGTACGCAACGATGCATTTGACCATTGTGCATGATTTTTCTGCTTGACCATTGTCTTGCTGCTGTTTCTTCCTCTGATCGATCCTATACATCATGGGGTACGTTATACAGATTGACGTAGCTCGTGTATAGGTTCGACTGCGCATTTATGACATTTGCACAACTTATTGAGTAAAAGGAGGAGTATAATCGAGTCTTCGCGAATGACCAAATTCGCTGCAAGTGCATCGAATACAGGTGTTTATTTTGAAATAAATGATCATATTACAACTTGTTGTTCAGCGAAACATTGTTATAATGCACGGACAGTTGAATAGCTTGTACCAGCTATTAATAATTTAAAAAACCGGCGGATACTTCCGTGAGAAAGTGAAATGAGAAAGCTAGAAAATGTACTACTGTCATAGCCGCACCACTGACTTATATTCGATCGATTTGACATTAAAAACCTACAAGCTAACATCATGCCTATGCCATATCGATAGATGACTTCTGTATATAAGTGTGAGGACGCTATTCGCTGGGAATCGAAATGGTCAAGTTACCATTTCAATAGCTGCTATATCCTCCAACTCTGATATTCGGTCATTTGATCGCGACGAATTACACGTGCATAAAAAGTGAATCTTATTTTCAATTTTCACACGATCAAATCTCCGATTGCTACTTGTCTCAAATGTTTGAATCAAGCCAGTGGGTGACACCTTCGAAATAATTGGGTTTTAAATGTATACGATGACTCGAAATTGTATTTCTTATTGATAAAAATACATTTGCGCACTTATCACTTTGACTTGTACACCCCTTAATAACAATGATCGTAATACAATTTATAATCCTTTTCTAGCTTTCAAATTGATTTTTACTTCGATAAATGCCATATCAAAGAATGTCAATCACTATAGGCTATATTCTTTACATGAAAAATAAAAGCATTAGATGAACGAATAAAACAAAAAAAAATGAAAACTTAAAAAGGGAAAGGTTGTCAAAAGTTAAGATATGCGTGAGAGTATAAAATCGTGACGTCAAGCACTAGCTAGTGTAGTGTAATGCGATAGAATAGAAAATATGAATAGAGCGTTAAAGCGCGGAAGACAGAGGGATAGAGCGAGAAAGATAGTGCAATGCGAATGAAAAAAAGAGCGCGAGAGATGGCCCGCGTGCGCGCCAAGCGCCTCCGAAGGGGCTCTATGCTGTATACACTATATACACACGCAGGGGTTGCAATGTATGTGTTCGCTGTACACACACGTGTATATATAGATTATAAGTATACAGAAGACAGAGTGGAGCGCTGGATTGGCTACAAGTCCCCACTATCTGGGATCCTGAGCGCGCGCCGCCGCTTCGTGCGGGAAGGGCGAAATCGCGTCTATATAAGCTGTCGTTCCCCTCTCGGAGACTCGTAGTTCGCTCGCATCCGTCGAAGCAGTAACTGTGCCCTGGCGTATCGCGCCTCGTACTCACAGAGTGTTTGTGTGTGTGTGTGTGTGTGTTGTTGTTGCTTGCAACTGATACGGCACACCGTACATTTAAATACATCATACAATCACACGAATGTGGATAAAAAAATCAAATAAATGTATAGATGTACATACTACCGATACCACGTTCATGATATGGTGTGAAGTTCAGTTGCGCAAAAATATCGATCCTTCAACATGATGTATGAAATGGATTGTGATTCCGAAAACATCGGTATTAACATATGTACCAGGTAATGAGGAGTTGCAGTTTAAAGTGATCTGTATTTGCTAGAAAGTGTGAATTATTGTATAAAGTGATTAACAAAGTCTGTGATGTACATAAATTCTGCCAAGTTGTTTGAAAAATAACGTATAAAGAGTCTTCGTCTTTCGCTCGAGATAGCAGCAACGTTGCTGTTGAGCTTTTGCTCGTTTCGATCGTTTGATCCGTCGTATAGTTTTTCCTGCAGTAATTTCAGTGCTTCAAGATATCTACTCAGAAAAGTGTTACTTTGCTTGCTTATCGCTTTGCAACTTCCTCTATAATAGTGAACCGCGCCTCTTTGGATTGTGTGCTTGCAGCTTCATTCATCGGCTCTTATTTCTCAAGCTTTGTCGCAAAATTGACAAAACTCGCACTGTGAACGATAAGCAATAACGCTTACACTCCGAATTTTTCGCAATAAAATTTCGTCGAAAAAACTCGCACAGCTCGTAAATATATTACGCTCAAAAGGTGTGCTCGAAGGAAAACAGTTTTCTCTCGGCTTATGTGTATCCCATAAGATTTTTACGAGGACTGCTTTCCGGCAAAGCTCGTCGAACCGGACTCGTGACTCGGTTAAAAGCTCTTTTCTGTTGACGTTTGACTTTCGGAGCCCAAGTACGCCGTGAAGTCGTCGATCAGGCGCGATACGTCAGTGGGACTGTTGTCATCCGTAGGTCCGCGCAGTTTTTCGAAAAAACCCCACCGTGTGGAGCCACCGTACAACGTGTGAAAAATCGTCGTTTCGCGCGCCAGTCAGAGAAATGCATCGTGCGCGGCTTACTCGGCGCGTAAAGCTCGCTCGCGGCGGCGGTAGCAACGATTTGGCGGCGATACAGTTCGTCAGTCGCGCGGCAATCGCCTGCCGTGTCGGTTCGCGTCCTGTGTGTCAGTGTCCGCGGACGAAAAAGAAAAAAAATCACAAAAACAAACCCGATTGAGAGGCGCTCGCAAGGCCGGCGTCATAAGTTACCTTATCTCAAGCGACGACTGATCCGATTTTCATGACATTAAATCAACTCAGAAACTGTTTTCATTGGTACGTTTTTCTTACTTTGCATCAATTTTTCTCATTGTTATCGAGAAACTTCACCCTGACTTTGGAGCAATGGCTTGGTACAAACATCTTAAAGTACCTGTCTGGAACATCTACCTTGCTCGTTTTCATACCCTTTTTGTCAATCATTCATTCGATTGTTGATTTTTTTTTTATTTTCATTTATGAGACAAACATTTAAGCAAGCTTGAATGATTGTCAAAAAATTAAGGCAATTAATTATACAAATAAGAACGTGTCAGTAGTGAGAAGAAAATTCTAACCTTCGCGTCAATGCTTATTTTTACAGAATGTTTGGAAATGGATTCAGGATCAAGGGTTCGCCGGAGGTAACGAGCAGTGACTTTTTGAAAAGATCAAAAGCTCGACTCTTGGGCATGGCTTCGTCGCGAAGCACAACCAGCCCGGAGCTGTTGTCGCCCTACGCAAAAAAAATGTACGACACCGCCATGGCTAGCCCTGAAACGAAGAATTCAACACCACACAAGGTTCGCATCTGCTGTTTTAATACTTCAGAACCCGATACACACATTACACACGTATATAAATATATGGGAGAGCCGCAGCTATAGCTCCCTACAGTTCTTTCGCTCGCTCCCTTTCTCTTTTTCTCTCCCCTTGTGCATGTGTGACGCGTATAATATTATACCTATACTCGCGCACAGTTCGAATATGCTATACATACCAACGCACACACACACACATACCTACACATATGCATCGTGTCTCTCGTTCTCGTGCAGCTATATATATGTATAGAAAAAATATATATAGCTTCGGCTGTAGTAGAAGCGCGCTCGCTCGCACTCACGCAGCCAATTGCCAAAACTCGGAGCCGGCTTCTATTCTGCGTGCGCACACTTGATGATTCGAGACTCATGAATGAAATTCTCTCCCAGACACTTGAACTTGCCGACTCCGAAAGCTCATTGCTTCGCTTGGATTCATTCGTAGTTTTCTCACTCCTGTTAGCTACGTAATTTACATTTATACATTTATAATTAAAAAAAAACATGAAAAAAAAACCACTTGGTAATTTATTCATAGATTCACTTGCTCCGAAACGGAAAAAATTGGACCTTCAGCTCACCCGCGAAATAAACAATTGCCCTTGCACACTCGAGACTCCTGATAACACGCTGCGACAATATTCTTATTAGTATTTTTCTTTCGATACAGCCTGGCCGATTGAGAATGAGAAAAAGAATGCCTTTGGAGGAATACGACCGAAATAGCCAGGACAGCGGCTACGATGAAAATCATTCTCAAAACGTCGTTTTCCGATTCGCCGAGCCGTTCGGCGTCGCTCCTCGACGAAGCTCGGACTCGCGCAGTCCCTGCACTTCTCCGCTCGGCATGTCTCCGCAACGCAAGAAAGCCACGAGGTCTAGCCTGTTCCACAGCCTCTCATCCGGTTACGAGAGCTTCGACGATGGCTTCAACGAGCTGACCGACGTCGACAGCCTCGATGGGGAGCTCGGTCCGAGACCGCAGAACCTGGCCAGCCTCATTTGCGGCTCATTCGTGCAGGAAAAGTCGACTTCCATGGAGATGTGCGTGGTGGCAACGACGCCCCCCGAGGCCGCCGCCGTGGCAGCGCCACGATCGCGACCGAGGCTCGGCTTTCGTTCCCAGCTGCCTCTTCAAGAAGCGGCGCCAAAAAACGGCTACGCGGACTACAGCAGCCCGCCCAACAGCGCGCCCAGGGCCCGATCGTGCCTCTTCAGGTCGCCCAACGCCACCTGCTCGACGGCCAAGCTCGCCTTCGCCGACGAGAACAGCGCGCGCTCGTTCAAGCGACCCGAGCCTCCGACCCAGCAGTCACCCATTCTAGTCAAGCGTTCGCGCAACTCGTGCGACTCGCCGCCCGTCCTGTCCGGCTCGCCCAACTTCCCCGAGAGGTCCTGCAAGCGCTTCCGCGAGAGCTTGAGCTTCTCCGCCCTGGGCAGCTCGCCGATGCTCGTGTCGCCAGAGCAGGTGCGCTGTCCCCGCTACGAGCCCGAGTCGCACGCCCAGGTCAAGGCGGCCATCCACCGCAGCACGACCGACGAGGACCTGACGGGCGACTTCTCCAAGACGTGCATCCTGCCCCTCGCCGTAGGAGAGCACGAGGACCTCAAGTCCATTAGCTCGGAGACCCTCGTCAAGCTCATCAACGGCGACTTCGACAAGCTGGTCAAGGACTTCAAGATCGTCGACTGCCGCTATCCGTACGAGTTCGAGGCCGGCCACGTTCCCGGCGCCATCAATCTCTACAGCCGAGACATGATCGAGCAGTTTCTCCTCGATCCTCTGACGCACGTGCCCTCGATCGAATCGGAAAGCGAAAAGAGGAGCGTCATCATTTTTCACTGCGAGTTCTCTTGGGAGCGGGGTCCGAATCTGTCGAGATTCCTGCGCAACATCGATCGCCAGCGCAACAAGGAGCACTACCCGGCTCTTCATTATCCGGAAATTTATCTCCTCCACGGAGGTTATCAGAAATTCTACGAAGAGCAACCCCAGCACTGCACGCCTCGAGGTTACAAACCTATGAAGGATCCAGCTCACGAGTCCGACCTTAAATTATTTCGAAGCAAGAGCAAAACGTGGCAAGGCGAAAAGATCAACCGAGCGAACGTCGTCACAGCTCGGGCGAATCTCAAAAGACTGGGTTTTTAATCGTACCATCTTGTTCAATTGCCGCGCTCTTTTTTTTGTTTTTAAGGAAGGACGAGTCATCTAATGTATTATAGCTTTAATATTGTACATGGATCGAAGAATTGACTGGAACAAAATTAGACTTAAGGCATTTCGCGTATTTTGTTGAATTTTTCTCCACCGAAATTGTTCTCGGAAAATTTCACAAAATTTCCGCGAGATTTATGTGCAAATGTAAATAGTTTTTATTGCAAAACACGATCGCAGCAGGCTTGAGCCTCGACAGCCGCGCTTAAAAATGGCTTTAAAATAATTTTCTAACTTTTTTTTATATTTTGGCGTAAAAAAGGCCAGGGTCAGCTTCCAAGTGATCATGAGAGAAATGCAAATCCATATTTTTATGTCTCTATGTTTCTTTTATGTGTGAGAGTGAGTGAGTATTTAATGTATGTTAAATATTTATTTTGAGGCGCAGCGGAAAAGACGAGGCGAGACTTAAGCAAAAAGCGACTTAGTCAATTTTTTCAGTTCGCTGATTAGCTTGTATATACCAAATCAATTTTTGCGCCATTAGATAAATTTTAATTTGAGTGAAAGTCGAATGAAATCAAATGAATTCAAATGAATTGAGAAAATGGAATTATACCTTTTTCACTCGATGAAAAAGAAAATTGTATAAATGTTCTTGTTTCTTTTTTAATGAACTATCTGTCTCAATATGTATAATATTATTGTATACAATATTTGTTACAAAAACTATAGGGAAATTGATTTATTGATCAAAATGGGATAAAAAGTTCTTTGTAACTTTCCCTTTAACACGTGCAAAATAGTTTATATGCTGTACAAAGTATTATGTAAATTATAAAGAAAAATATAATTTTGTCATACAAAATAATATAAATCGTTATTACTCTAGTACCAATTTAATTTTAACAATTCAAGTTGACCAAAATGAGATTTCGAACAACAAGATACTATAAATAAATTGAAATTTATTTATCATTGCATATTTTTGGACGAAAAATCAATTTTTTAAATATTTCATTTGAATGACATTATGAAACAAATCATGAAGCGAAATCACGCTAGAAACTTATTCGAGAAAAAAATATTATAATTATTAAATAATGATAAATGCAGCTTGGGTTTTTCATTTCTATTAATGTGGCTGATAAAGTTGAAAGTGATTTTTACGACCGGAACATATCTGTTCTGCATAATATAACTTGAAACAACTTTCTCACCCACTTTCACTTTCATCTTAAAATAATTTTCAATGTGCAGACGAAAAATCGACAGAACTGCAATATTTTGTATTCATTAATTACAAATTAAAAAAAGGAACATTAAACTGTTATTAAAGTAACATGAGAATAAATATTAACTCATTTATACCAAATCTTTCTATATCTCTATAAATAGCTTTATCGCTTAATTTATTTTTTAATTTTTATTTGGTCACTTTTAATCATTTGACCTAAATGTGTTAATAAGCTCTTACTATGAATCAATATTTGAGAAATATAATTTAAAAATGAGTATTGGCCGTGCTTTATTTGAACTACATTTCTTCATGTGAAAGCACCTTAAGATTGTACCTTTGCAAATTATTTTATAGCGGCCGGTGAATTGTGAGACAGTCACAGCGTGCATATATATTACATTGACTATTTTATAATTTACAGAGGTATTTTTTTATTCTTCTCTAGAAGGAATATTTTTCTTACAGAAATTACATACGTTTGTATAAAATATTTATAAATACACCTATACACATAATTTGCCTGTGACAGTGCTAAGTTACGTTGCGCAAAACAAATAACTGATAGTGCAAATTCAGCTATGTCGATTTTCATCGTCGGTGCAAGTAATTGAATTATCTCTGAAGTTAAATACAGCTTTCCACGTAAATCCTAACAATCAAAGAAGAGGTTGCTTATCTACATTCAAAAAAATTAATTATTTATTTTGTATTTATGTTTGCATCTATCTCATTGCTAAAAAGAGATATGATTAAATTGATAACCTCTTTTTATCTTTATTTTGTAATTTGTTTTATATCGATTTCTGGAACATTCTACACAGCAGATTCTCAGTAGGCAGTGAACTTAATTATTGTGCCCACAATAAAAATATATATTAAATTTCTGTGAAATTTTCCAAAGTATGTAATGCTCCAGAATTATGCTGATATATTACAATCTCATATACATTAACTTTTTACAGAATTTAAAATACCTCATTGCCTTAACATAAATGTTTTTGCAGTATGTATTTAAATAACTCCTGCTATAAGATATAACATTTTCAGCTGCATTAGTAAAAAGACCTCTTGTGAACATCGGTCGAAGGTTTCTAGCAAGCATGGCTGAAGCTCTAAAAACTCATGAAGTCATTCCTGACGTGGTTGATACTGTCCCAGCTGCTGTCGCTAAAGTATCTTATCCAAGTGGTATCAATGTGGAAATTGGCAAAGAGTTGACTCCCACCCAAGTAAAAGATCAACCAACTGTTGATTGGAATGCAGATGATAGCAGCTTTTACACCTTGTGTATGACAGGTAAAAAAACTGTTCATAAATTATTATATAACACATAATTAATATTTTGAAAGATTAATATATTCATTAAAATTTGCAGATCCAGATGCTCCTAGTCGTAAAGAGCCCAAGTTCCGTGAATGGCATCATTGGCTAGTTACCAATATCCCTGGTAAAGATGTTTCAAAAGGAGATGTTTTATCTGCATATATTGGATCTGGTCCTCCACCAGATACTGGTCTGCATCGTTATGTTTTCCTAGTATACAAACAACCTGGAAAACTCGATTTTGACGAAAAACGCCTTACAAATAGAAGTGGAGATGGTCGTAACAACTTTTCCATCAAAAAGTTTGCCCAAAAGTATAACTTAGGAAATCCTATTGCTGGCAATATGTATCAGGCTGCTTTTGATGACTATGTACCTATTTTATATAAACAACTTGGGGGATAAATATGTGACAATGACTTTTATATGTTCAACCTGCTTTTATGTATGCATCTTATTTTTATTATATTCCGGTAATCAAAATGTTCTATCAAGGTCTAATGTTGATGTTGGAATTTATAGAAATTTGTTTAATAACTGAATAAAGATAACATCACTTTATGTATTTTTGAGATAAATGGATTTTTATTTTCATTCTTAAATACAGTTCTATTAAATAAGAAAATCGATTCACCAGTTACTACTGCTGGAATACTTGGCTCAAGCATAGAAAAATAGCAAATTACCATTTTGCTATTTATTTGAATGCACAATCTAAATCACCGGCAGTTGCTCATTGAATAATCAAATTTTCGAAAATGACTTTAATGCTCTATTATTTCTTTTGTCATGCAAAGCTAGTCTGTGATATAACTTAATCGAAGTATAAATCTGTAAGCCCATATCAATTTACTGCCACTCAGAAGTGGAAACCATACAAAAATGAGATACATTTTAACGAGTACGTGATTTTCAAAATAATTTAGAAAAATATTCATATCATTAATCTGAGTAAAGTGTTAGAACTTTTTATTCATTGGTTTTATAGGTATTTTTTTGTGTTCATTCGCCTTTGCGGTTGATATATCTACGGACTTTACTTCCTCCGGTGTAGTTCCAGATGTCATCGTCAAGGCGCCGGGTGAAATGCTCGCGGTAAATTTTTTTTCCATTTCTATCTATTCAGTAATACATTTTTTTTCTCCAGATGATTGTACGCTAAAATGATAAAATTTATTGGAAAAGATAACATATAATTAACGTAATGCACAGGTGACATATAAAGACAGTAACGAAAAAGATAAGGATTTACGATTCGGAGAAGAATTGACGCCAACTATTGTCAAAGATCCTCCAGCCTTAGCATGGTTTACTGTGGATAATGCATATTATACAGTTGCCATGGTTGGTAAGTTATAAATATTAATAAAGCATACTTGGCCAAACATAATCTAATTCAGTCATTTTTCTCTAATGGATTTATTTAATTAACTATATGTACAGATCCGGACGCACCGAGCGCAAGTGATCCAAAAATGCGAGAAATGCTCCATTGGTTGGTGGCCAATATTCCAGGTGGTGATTTGTCGAAAGGCGAGGCGATCGTCGAGTACGTAGGCTCGGGGCCTTCAAAAGGTACCGGTCTTCATCGATACGTATTACTGGTCTACAAGCAGCCGGAAAAATTGGTCATCCAGGAGGCGCGAGTAAGCAAACACGAGCGCGCAGGCCGTCCGTCATTTAACATTCGTAATTTCGCCAATAAATACAAATTGGGCGAGCCTATTTCTGGAAACATGTTCAGGGCTCAATACGACGACTATGTGCCTACAATACATAAGCAGTTGGGCGAGAATAATTAAACATTGTAATTGACGCATGAGTAAGGCGCAAAAAAATATATTTGAGGGTGGTTGCTTGCTTGAAACCGTTGCAAAAATTATTTCGTTAATTTTATTGTAATATGATCTCGTATCATATTATATCTTCCCAAAAAAAGAATAAATCATGCAACATATATTTTTGGATCTCATAATTGCTTATAAAAATCTAATTTTGTTTATTTTATCAATAAAAAAAGGAAGTATAACTCGAGTTCTTGAATGAGTTTATGATCATTATAATTTGGTTCTCTATATTAATCTTTGAAATTTGCGAATTAAAATACGTCATGAATTTCATTAGTGCTTTGCTCGAGGTTCGCTGTGAATGTCGCACGTCTACATATTATATAGGCAGGCGACAAGTTATATACTCTCTCCGAGTGAAACTTGAATCAGTCTGTAAAATAACAGGGAAGCGCGATGAAGCATTTGCAGCGTTTAGGTGAGTATTTTAGCTTAGCTATTTCAATTCTAAATCGAATGAGATTTTTGTAATAAAATCTTAAATAATCTCAACCGATTTTTCGTTCGTTAAATTACAGCTTTTTTCATTTTGGTCGTCGGAATAGCGTCGGCAGATGTTATATCCGAATTTAAAGCGGCTAAAATTGAACCAGATATCATTTCCATTTCTCCGAATGAAACAATTGAGGTTTTATCATTTTTTCAATTTTTATTTAGCTATATCTAACTCGACTAGTTGAAAAAATTGAAGTAAAAATTTTTTCGTCTTAGATTAAATATGGCAACAAGGAAATAAAGTTAGGAACCGAAATCACACCGACTGAAGCCCAAAATATACCAGAAGTACATTATAAACACGATGGAGGCATTTTATATACACTCTTCATGACAGGTATTATTAAATTAAGATATTTTCTAAGATTAATGAACTAGGCACGATTAATAAATTTATTAATATAAGGAATTAAATAATGATGATCGAAAATCTAAAATGTTAATAAGAAATTAGAATTTTTTACCAATTTTTTAAGAATTTAAAAATCTACACCATATTTTTTTATTAAAACTAAATGTCCATTTAATCTTATAAAATTACAGGAAAATTTTAAAACGTCACAAAGCTTGACGAAAAAAGACTGATTCTATAAATAAATATGAATCAATAATTCTAGAAAGTTATCAATAACGTGTTTTTATGCATAAATAAATGATAGTTTACAAATAACAAATTAGGTATGCTTGTGCAAAACAAAATTGCTCCTGTACGAATTGGTTATTATTTTTCACTTTCAATTGTTATGTATATGCCTACGCGAAACTTTCACCAGAAAACAGGTTTCTTCTTTTGTATTCTTCGTTTGTAACGTGTTGGTACATACAAATTCATACATCTGTATATGCTCAACGCTTCGAGGCAATTGGCTATACAACGTTTGCTTAATTTCAAAACTAAATCTGTGAAGTCAATGCTATTCGATGGTGTAACTGATAAAAAAATTTTTGAAAGATTTAGTTCACAAAAGTTATGTAAATAGTAAACGTAGAATCTTGAAAAAGTTTAAAATAAAATAATCAGATTATTACTAACAGATTTTTAGTCAACCAATGCGTATTAATTGCACCAATCGTGAAGCAAAAAAAAACAGTTATATTTTTAAAACTTTCGAACTATTGCAGATCCAGACGTACCGGTTCGCGGCTATGCTCGTGAATGGCAACATTGGGTAGTCGGAAACATTCCTGAAGATAAAGTACACAAAGGAGAGGTTTTGACTGAATATGTTGGACCCGCACCACCAAAAAATAGCGGCGCCCACAGATACGTTTTTCTTTTGTACAGACAAAATCAAGGATCAATTACTTTCGATGAAAGACGCATAGGAAATAGGTGCATTATTGATTATTTCACTAACTTTGCTCATCTTTTATAGTTACTCCATTTTTATTGCTCAATAAACTTTTCGAGCCAAAGATAAAATAAATTATTTTTCAGGGACAAAAAAAGGAATCGGTTCTCCGTGGCCAAGTTCGTCGAAAAGTACAATTTGGAAGGTCCATTAGCTGGAAACTTCATGAAAGCTCAGTATGACGATACCGTTCCGGTAATTCGTCGACAATTGGGAATTTATAATTGAAAAAAATTCGAGACCGAAAATTAAATTACGTTTGTCTGCTGTGTAATCCTTGGTTTACAATTTCAGTGATAAATCAATACTGCTTTTATCTATCAATAATAACTCTTGCAATTTTTGCGCCATTAATCATAAGTATGATTGTCTAAAGTGATTTAAAGATGGTAAAAAAATTTTTTGATATTTCTTTTCTTTCAATAAAATGTATAATTAGTTAGTCAACAGTTTTCCAATTATTCCGCTTCACACTTCATTTATTCATATTACTCATTTTATTCATTCATTCATTCATTTATTAGATTATAATCGAAATTTGAAAAAAATAAATAAATAAAGTTTTAGACATACAGTACGCACTAACTTTGATTTCATTTATTCGTGTGTGGCGCGCAGTATGGTGCGACTACCAAACTACACGTTATACTTATTTGTGAAGTGAAAAGAACCCACTGCGCAGGTCCAAAATCACGTGGTATTGGGTAAGCGTTATATGACTCTCCTGACGCCAAGTAGATCCCGTACTCACTTGGTTTTGTTCGTTTCCTTGACGGTGACAAAAATTGAAATACATTTGCGCTAAGTCGCCGCATAAATCATTGCTGTACTCGGTTAGTATCATTAATTCATCTAATGACAACATTTAAATATTGGTTGTTTTCAATTTAAACTTTTTACATTTGTAGACGGACTAGTGCCTGAAGCGAACGAAGACATTCTTAACCGTGACGTTGATAATTGACGCCATCTTGGCTTGATGTCAATCGTAGTGCAGCAATAATCGTCAGCTAAATGTAAGCAACAGCGGTCATTGCAACTAAGATGGTCAACTTTACATTTTGTTAGTGATTCTATAGATACATTTTTGTCTCGAAATTCAAGCATTCAAAATACACCCTTTTTATATTTATTTAAATTTGAAGTTGTTTTCGATTTTTAATATCATCAAAAGTCAACTTTGAGTTAGCATTAATTATAGAAAGTAAGAATTTATGAATTATTTACTTTCAAATTTTTCGATATAAAACTTCAACAATGAAATTGAAGAAAGTTTTGGATGGCTGTTTTACGCTGCAACCCAAGGAGGCAAACCAAAAACTTGAAATCTATAAGTGTGTTTACTGCAGCCAACAATATGCACGACATATCACAAGAATGAGCGTACATCTACTAAAATGTTCTGGGAGCCCACCACACTTGAAAGAAATTTTGAAAGAAAAAGTTAAAGGGAAAATCCTTGAAACTTCTATACATGGTTTTAACAAAAAAGGACAAGTCAGAAATTTGAAAAGAATTTTAGAAGAAAATTTTCTCATGATACCAAAAGATGGAAACCAAAAATTGGATATCTTTCAATGTAAACACTGCGAACAAAAGTATGCTCGCAATGCATCAAGAATGAGTTCACATTTACAAAAATGTTCTGCTTGCCCATCCGAAATAAGAGAAGCCTTGGAACAAAATATCAAAGTTAATCTGGCACAAAAAGTATCGAGACGTTTTATTCCCAAAAAATTATTAGAAACTAGTTTTATACTGCAACCGAAAGAGCCAAATCAAAAGCTTCAAACGTTCAAGTGTAGATATTGTGGTCAAATATATGCAAGACACTCTACTCGTATGAGTTTGCATCTACAAAAATGCATTGGTTGTCCAGGTTCAGTAAAAGAAACTCTTATATCTACAGCTAAAAAAGACAAAATCAAGGGTGATATGATGAAAAAAAGGCAAGAATCAGAGAGTGATTTTCCAATGAGCGATGATGATAATAATGGATTACTTGTTAATACTTCTACTAATTCGTACACTGAACCTACTAATGACATCAATTTAATTGACAGAATGTCAAAACAAAGGCAAAGATATTGTGAAGAACTTCTTGCAAAAGCTATATATGCGTCTAATGCTCCTGTTAGTATAATTGATAATGAACACTGGCGCACATTACTAAATACTTTAAGCCCAGCTTTTCAACTTCCTACCCAAGAACGACTGTCAACAACACTACTTGACACAACATATGAAAATGTAAAAAAAAGTGTTGATCAAAAAGTGAGAGAAGCTATTTCGTTGGGTATTCAGTGTAGCTACAGATCCAATGCTAAGAATGAAGGGGTAATTAATTTTGTGTTAAATACACCAGATCCTGTATTGTACAAGTCAATTTCTCTATCGACAAATGTGCAAGATGCAAATCTGTACATGGAGAAGATATTTGAAGTAATAGAAGAAGTTGGTGCTAACCGAGTTTTAGGAGTTTGTATAGATAGTTTAAGTAATTGTGATAATATTTGGGAAGTAATGGAGCAGAAGTATGAAGATCATAATATTTCTTTCTATTACTGCGCATCTCAAATATTCAATAAATTATTAGAAGAATTATTTGAATTGCCAACTGTTAATGAGTTAATGATGAATACATCAACACTTATAAAAGATATAAAGCAGTATGACATTCTTGGTGACTTGTTGAATGAAGCACAAAAAAGTTCTGAAAAATCTGATGGTATTCTGTTATTAAAAATATTAGGAACTAGAAAATGTTCTTCTGTGGCATTTTTAGAAAGTATTATTGAAAATAAGGAACATTTACAAGTACTTGCTTCTGCTCCCAAATCTGACAAGTATTTGGGAAAAATATCAAAAGATTTAATTGCTGATGAAGAATTTTGGTCTAAAATTACTGCATATATCAAACTTATAAAACCAATTATTAAATGGATTAATCATTTAGATAATGAAGATGCTAAAATTAGTGAAGTTCCAGAAGCATTCTTAGATTTAGAACAACATTTTATCACTGAATTTCAAGATCCAATGGTGCTTCTTTCTATGGAAGAGTCAGATCAAATTTTGAAAAAATTCAAAACATTATCTACCGGAGTATTGCAACCATTACATTTTGCTGCCAACATCTTAAATCCTATATTTAAAGGAGAACATTTGAGTTCAGCAGATTTTGCTCAAGGAAACGAAGTCATTACTAAATTATCTAGTAAATTTGGATTGAATGAAAGAGATATAATTGTAGATTTAGCCAATTACAATACAGGCAAGGGAGTATGGAATGTAGCTTTTGTAAAAAAATCAATTGCTTTAATGCCTCCATCGACGTGGTGGTCAGCATTTTTCAAAAACTCTTGTTTAACAAAAATAGCTGCAGCTATATCAGATCTGCCATGTACATCTGTTGCTACTACTGACAGATCTCATAAAAGAATGATTCGAGATGATCCTACAGGTAAAATTATGTATATAAATCAGAACCTTAGGTTACTAGATCCAAAACGTCAAGAAAAAGTAAACAAATATCAGGAAGAAGAATTGCAAAAATTAGATGAAGAGGAATTAATGGAAGAAGTTTATAATGAAGAAATCGAAGAGGTACTTGTTGAAGAAGCTGAAGAATCATTAGAAGAAGAAACTGAAGAGATTACTGGAGACCCAGTTGAAGAATTTGATGTGGATCCCAATAGTGACTCTAATGCAGGTTTATCTTACATTCAAATTGTTCAAGAGAATGGGGAGACATTTTATGTTCAACAAGAGTAAAATGTTTCTTTATAAAATATAAATTTTGTAATTTAGATATGATGTATTTTAAACTGTAAACTATATCTATAAGATATGCACAATGAAATAATTCATAAAGTATGTGACAATGAAAATATGTAAATTTATAATAAGGAAAGTTTTAAGTTCTGTTTCTACATAGCACTAAAAAGTTTTAATGAAAATTTTAAGTGATTAATTAAACATGTAAATGACTTAATATAATAGTTTTCAAGTAATTTTATATAATTCAAAAGAAGTTACTGGTAAAACTTTAATCTGAATTTATAAATTAATTTTAAATGAGTTTTTTATCTTATGAAAATCAATATTTTCCTTATTGCAATATTATGTTTGACTATTTTTGATTTAATTTAATTGTGAACTCAAAATATTTCATTTTATTTACCTTGTACATTACCCACTTACATCCCAACAAAATCATTTATGTAATTGTCTAATTAAAGTATTGATAACAATCAGTAAAATTTTTTATTGATGGTACCTTTTTGATTATAAAATTGAGAAAAATAAAAAAAATTGTTTTCAAAAAATTATTTCGTGATAATTTAATACTGAACACCATACCTATTACAGTTTTTGTAATCAAAGCTTACATGCAGCTTTTTCTTTTGAAAAACTATGTGATTAAACTAATCTGCATATTAATTTTATAAATCTTAAAAAAGTGATTGTTGTAATTGGATTATTTAATTTATGTAAAAAATTGGTTTTATGGGAAAAAAACATAACATAACATAACATTCATCTGCGAAATCGAAATGAAAACAATTGTAAAAACATTAACTGTGTTCCTTGCTTTCATATCTTATTACTATATTACAGGCAATCCCCGCTATTCGCAGTACTTAGTATTCGCGGTTTCACTTATTCGCGGTTCTTTAATTGAGCCATTGTTTCACTATTCGCGGGAGTCGGATTCGCTTATTCGCGGTTTATTTCACGGTTTTTTAGAAATAATTTTTATAATAGTATATTTTATAAATAAATATTTGAAAAATGGCTCCCACAAATAAAAATAAAGATAATTGCTCAAAAAGAAATAAAGCTGTGATGGATTTAGGTCAAAAGCTCAAGATTTTGGAGCTAATAAGAGAAGGAAAAAAATTGCCATAATGCTGCTTTTTTCTGTTTCGGTATTCGCGGTTTCGGTATTCGCGGTGTTTTTCGGGAACGAATTAACCGCGAATAGCGGGGATTGCCTGTATTATATTTAGAAACAGTTATTTAACACAACGTAAATCGAATTGACAATTTCTTATGATAAAGAACTAAAATTCTTTTTTTTAACCATTCATTTATGTATCTTGTAAACAATTTATAAACACGAAGAGTTAAAACATATAAAAAGTTAAATTTATTTTTTAAGAAGGAAAAGATAGTCTGATAGTTGAATCGCGTATTATTTTGGACACTTAGCAGTTGGTAGCAATTAGCCCCCGGTGACTGTTGTAGCTTGCACGTGCAGGTTGTAACTTGTATTATCGGCTCATTCGTAGTTCGTACGTAACTTGCGAGCCGAGCACATGGCATAATAGTTAAAATACATTTTAAAGAATAATAGTGACAACAATAAAAATGGGTTCACCTGAACAAGATAGCCACCGACCAGGGGCATTTAAAAAACCAAATAAGGTTCATAAAACTGGGAGGCATCGAAGCAAAGGTTCAGTTGCCGGCGAAAATAAAGGTATGTTGATAACTTTATTACAATGCATCCTTACTTATTCAACTTTTTAAAATGCAACTAAATTTATATTAAAACGATTGCCTATTCTGTAAATCAATGTTTGTTAATGAATTCTAATTTATTTTCTTACATTCGCGGTTGTATTAGCAATTTTATTATTATTATTTTTCTTTTTTAACCTGAAAAGAGCTATTTTATTTTCAAATAAATATTTTTCATGATCATGCAGGTCGTACTGGAGTTAAAAGTCTGTCAAAAAGCATAAAAAAAGATTTGGGCAAAGAAGCACGACGCAATCAACTTCAACAAATTCGTTCACATAAACGTGAAGAAGTTTTGAAGAAAAAACGTAGTTTAGGAAGTGCTCATAGTGCTCCCATTGTAATAGCAATTATACCTTTGCAAGAAGATTTACGAGTTGAAGCTATTGTAGAATTATTTATTAGTGCAGATGAAGAAGCCACTGTTAAACATAGTGCCTCTGCAACACACATTAGGTAAGTTATACAAATTTAAATTAATATGTTTCCAAATACTTTTGGCTAATATTTACTATATTTTTTCACAGCATACCTAGATTTAAACAGCGTTTTGCTATTGTTGTACCAACAACTAGTGATGTATTATCTACATTAGATGTAGCAAAAGTAGCAACAACAGTGATTTTTGTAACATCAGCTGTATATGATTCTGATAAAAGCCAGCGAAATGAAGTTCTTGATGCATGGGGGGAAGAAATCATTCAACCAGTAATATCTCAAGGATTGTCAACACCTATAATAGCTGCAGTTAATATTGAAACTTTGCCTGTGAAGGTAATACTTTGCAATAACTTTCAAATTGTCATTTGTAAACATAATTTTACATCCAATTATTTTTTGTTTAGAAACGACAAGATTATAAAAATCATGTTCAAAAGACTTTATTCAAGTGGATGCCTGAAGAAAAAATTATGCCCCTTGATAAACCAGCAGATGCCTTGAATATTTTAAGACGTGCAGGTTCGCAAAAACAAAGAAGTGTGGCCTACAAAAATAAGAGATCTTATTTATTAGCAGAAGATGTTAAATTCAACTTAGATGAAAAAGTATAACTACTTTTTAATAATAAACAACTAAATTTGTTTTCTTTTTGCTTAGCTACATCACTTTGATTTTATTTTTCAGAGCAAAAATAATTTTGGAACTTTAAAAGTATCTGGATATTTACAAGGACTAAGTTTATCAGTAAATGGTTTAGTGCATATACCAGGATTTGGTGATTTCCAAATGAGTCAAATTGAAAAATGTAGAGATCCTTTCCCACTCACAACTGAAAGGCAAAATTTAAGAGATGAAGAAATGCAAGAGGATAGAATAGTCATTGCAGTAGCTGATCCAGAAAAACAGGAATCTTTAACAGCAGAACATATTCCAGATCCAATGGATGCTGAGCAAACTTGGCCAACTGATGAAGAATTAGCTTTGGCCGAGGCAAAGCAGACTAAAAAAATAATGAAGCGTGTCCCCAAAGGAACTTCTGAATATCAAGCAGCCTGGATTCCGGACGTAGAAGGAGGTTTGAAATAATTTTCAATTGTCATGAAAAATTAATGAGAGTATTCCTAGTTGTAATTATTGCTTTATTTCTTTAGAAGAATATGTTGAAGATTACAGTGACGAAGAAGATGATGATATGACTGTAGATGAAGCTCAATCTGAAGTGAACAGTGATGATATGCAGCAAGGTGAAGATGATGAAGAATATGAAACAATTTCCATTTCAGAATCTACTAATGAACAACGTTATGATGAAAAAATGGATATGTATGAAGAAAGAGAAGCTATGCTTAAGTTGCAAGGTATATATTACGAATCAATTACTAAATCTCTGTATCTAGTATTTTTTTCAATCAAATTTCTCTGATTTTTAATATAAAAAAAAATATTTGAAGTATTAGAAAATTTTGAATTATATTACAAATTTAATTTATTTTGCAGAAGCTAAACTTGATTCTCAGTACCCAGATGAAGTTGATACCCCATTAGATACACTGGCAAAAGATAGATTCCAGAAGTATAGAGGGCTAGAGTCTTTCAAAAATACTCCTTGGGACAATAAAGAAAATTTACCATTTGATTATGGTAGAATATATCAGTTTGAAAACTTCGAGAGAACTCGCAAACGTATTTTCAATGAACGTTTAACACTAGATGAAGTTCAGGTACACTTTTGAAATAATTATAATTGTTATATATCATCAAATAATCATTGTTAATAATTTTCAATTACAGCCTGGAACTTATATAACTATTCATGTAAAAAATGTTAGTCAAGAATTATTTGAAGCTTATAGAGTCTTAGATCAGCCACTAATTTTGTTTGGATTATTAGAGAATGAGCATAAGATGTCAGTTTTAAACTTTGTCTTGAAACGAACAGCAAACTGCGATATTCCAATTAAGTCAAAAGAACGACTCATTTTTCAATGTGGATATCGTAGATTTACTGCCTGTCCCATTTTTAGTCAACACACAAATGGAAATAAACATAAGTTTGAAAGATATTTTCAACCTAAAACTACAATGGTGGCTTCAGTTTTTGCTCCAATAACATTTCCACCAAGCCCAGTACTATGTTATCAAGAAAAAAAAGATGGTTCACTGGTATGTTTAATTATCATTTTCATTAAAATATTGCATTAAATATTGTCTATCATAAATTTTATGTTTTTTGTACAGGAATTACTAGCTACAGGAACTCTTCTCTCTGTGACTCCCGATAGAATGGTAATAAAAAGGGTAGTATTGAGCGGATATCCATTTAAAGTTAATAAAAAATCAGCCGTCATTCGATTCATGTTTTACAATCGTGAGGACATAATCTGGTTCAAACCAGTAAAACTACGAACTAAGTGTGGTCGTAAAGGTCACATAAAAGAGCCCCTGGGTAAGTCTTTTTTAATAAATTTGATTTTGAAGATGGTCTGTTAATTTTCTAAATATATTTATAGGAACTCATGGCCATATGAAGTGTATATTCGATGGTCAATTAAACTCTCAAGACACCGTTTTCATGAACTTGTACAAAAGAGTTTTTCCAAAATGGACATATGAACCAATGTTGCTTAACATTACTTCCACAAAGCCTGCCAGTATGGATATGTAGGTTGGTTAATGGCTAATGTAAAAACTGTTGTCTATTTTGTTATTTTTGTACATATACAATAACTAGAACTAATCAGAAGTTTTTTAAATAAAATATATTCAATAATACACTTCGATTAAATTATTTTTATTGTACGACTTTATTACTGCAAATAGAAATGAATACCTGCGTTTTTATATCTGAAAATTATGAGATTTTTATGATAGAATTTGTTAATGGCTTCGATAAATAATAAGAGCTGCATTTAATTACTGGACTAAATTTAATACATTTTTAATTTGCAAAAACGATTACACATTTGAGAACAAAAATACGTGGTCAAAGGAATCGTTGAAGGCATACATATTATGAGTCATTATATGCTCTAATGCCGCATTATTTTTCATTTTATATACTATTGACTCGTTATAAATCATTTTTATGAGTTAAAAGCCTTTGCATTTATAAAGAAAAAAAATTTATATATACAAACTTTTACTTTTAGAGTATCAAAACGAAAGCATAATTATTTTAAATTAATTTTAGTTAATATTTTATTTTAGCAAAATTTATATAATTTCTTAATTAAAAACATTAAAAAAGCATTCTACCAATAAAAATAAAATATGTTCACAAATGGTAGCAAAGCATGTAAGTTCATGCTGAAAGAATAATTTAAAAAGTATTGAAAAAACTACCTACACAATTTTTACAGATAAAAGAACTAAACTTCCATGCTTGATTACTTTTTTTCAAATAGTATTGAAACAAAAAAGGAACATTGGTTAAACTAAATATTAGTAATATTACCATTTAGCCCTATTTATATATAATTATATATTAATAACTAATGTTGATGTCTCGCATTCAAATTAGAAACTTGCATCTGTGAGCATATTTGTAACAAAAATATAAAACAGAAATGCGCTTGATGCATCTTTAAATAATGATGCTGCAGTCAGTAACAGATTATAACTCTGTTAATACATAACGTATCTGCCAAATATTTATCATACTTGTTTCCTTCAAGTTGATAAATAAAGTCGATGATAGTCATTAGCACCAAAAGCGCAATTGCACTTTGGACACTTTCTTTGCCTAGTCTCATAACGAGTGCGTAAACAGTCCCAACAGAATACGTGGAAACATTTCGTAAGCACGGCATCTTTTCTTTTAACTTTACAAGATGGGCAAGTAAGAGTTTCTTTATATTCTCGAAGTTCCTCTGCCATGACTTCATCAACAGTTTCTGCCAATTCGATTTTCTTCATTCTTTCAACTTTCCGTCTTAATTGCGCTATTTCTTCCTGTAGCCTTTTTGTTTTGTATGCTTCAGCTTCGAGTGAACTCGTCTTTTCAGCAACAACTTGCTGTGCTTCTTTCATTTGAGAGTGATATTTTTCTAATATTGGAGATAATAAGAACCAAGATTTAATTTTCAGTAATTTAAATAAATTTAAATTTGTACTTATAGTCTAAATAATAATATGAAAATTCCTTACCAAGATGAAGTTTGAGATCAGCTGCAGATTGAGCACTTTCAATTGCTTTTCTTTTATGCATTTCCATTGCTTGTTGTCTTAGAGCAAGCTCTTTTTCAACTGTAGCCAATGAGTTTTGCAGAAGACGTTCTTTATCTTCGAGTTTTCTAACTACTACATTCGCCGCTTCTACTTGAGTTGTAAGAGTTGACACGTGCTCTTTAAGAACATCTTTTTCTTCCCTGGCCAATTTGTGTAGTTGATTACTTTTTATTCTCTCAGTCATTAATTTAAAGTTAGCGTCATCTTTTTCTCGTAGCTGCTGAATTAATCTAGAATTTTGTTCTTGCATATCTTCAAAAGCTTGGCCTGTTACTTCCATTTCATTTAGAAGAGCTTCTTCTTCCTGTAACCATGTACAATTCTGTTTAATGTCACATGACTGTTCAATTTTTTCTTAAATTTCATCATATAGTTATGTACGTACACCCATTAACAATGTACTGCATTCAACATTTGATTTCTGCATGCAAAAAAGTTAGTTTTGATATTATTATTACAAGTATATGAAATATGCTTAATAAAACCATTGAAAAATGTTAATATTCCTATGATAAAACCATAAATGGAACTGCAGATCAGAGTTAATGCATGCACCAAAAACATTTTGACATTTAATAAGGTTTGAAATATTACCTGCTTTTGAGTAGCAACTTGTCTTTGTAATGAAAAGGTTTGCTCTTCTAATTTTTTTATTTTTAATTGAGCATCTTCATCTGCTAATTTTTTCCGCTCCTCGCGTTTATTTTCCTGAAAAATAAAAATAATTATTCGAATTTCTTTCTTTTCGAAATTTGATAGAACAATTTATTTAAATATTATTTTTACTTGAATTTTTTTAATTTGTTGCCTTAATTCTTCTAGTTCAGCTCTCGTCTTCCGTTCCGCAGCCATTAACTGGGCTTTATCTCGTTGTTCTTTACCAAGCCCTTTATACATATCTAGCAGTAATTTCATTTCTTTCATCTCATTGACAGCTTTTCTATGAAAATGAAATAAAATTTTAAATTTATATCTTATGAACTTTAATATGTAATTTTTTAAAATAAAAATAATTTCTTACTTCATCTGTGCTCTTAAATCTCTGACAAGTTCAGATTCTGCGCCTTTTGCATCTTTAGATTTGTGCGTTGGATCTCGGTGTTCTGTTTTGATAGATTCTTTTTTAACATCTTTTTCTCTTTTAAGATCCTTTTCTTTTTTCAGAGTAGGAGATGCAAGTGAATCAGATGTTCCCTTATCTCCATCTCCTAATTCATTTTCTATATCTTCATCCGCACCTTCTCTTTTAATTGGCATGCCAGTTTCATCTTTTATCTACTCGATTTAACATTATGAAAGTAGTGGATAAAAAAATATAATTTTAAAAATTTTACCTGTCCTGCAACCGGCAGTGAATTTGGTGCATCTTCCTCTTTACCACTACCGTCGGAATTGTTACCTTCTTTGCTTTCTTGAGAATTTTGTTGACCCAATTTTGACGTTAGCTCTTCAACTTCTCTTTTTAACTAAAATAGTTAATTCATGGATGAATCTTTCAAAGTTTTCAATTCCGCATTAAATTTATTTTTGAATTTTCATAATGTTCTTACCTTAGGAAGATCTGTGGCAACTTCTTTGTATTTCCGTTTATATCTGTGAACTTCTCCTTTTAGTTGCTGATTGTGGTTTTGTAATGATGTAATAAGATGTCTCATTTCTCTATTTATAGGGCCAGTTTGCTCATTAGCTGCTAAGTTTTGTTCAAATTCAATTCGTAACATTTCATATTCTTTCCTTAATTGTGCTAAAATATCTTCGAGTTGAATACATTCTCCTCTCAATTTTTTCTGAGCCATCAGCTCCTCACTCTGTTTAAAAGTAATAGATTTTTAAACATTCATTAAAGAGATAAAAATTAATACAACATATAAATTTACCTCCATCATTTCGATATGTCTTAAATGCGCATTTTTGCTAGTTTGAAGTTGTTGCCTAGCTTCGTCCAATTGCGTTTTCAGTTGCATTGATTCATTATATAATACCGAAAATTGAGATTGCAAACATTTATACTCTGTAGTCTCTACTATAACTGATTCTGGCAGTTGACGAATCTACAAAATTTAATAAAACATATAATTATATGCAAAAGTAAAGATTGAGTTTCAATATTACGTACATCCATTTTCAATTTTTCAACTTCTTTTAGTGCATCTCTATGTTGTTGATGTAGCTTATCTAATTCTTGCAGTCTATTGTTAGCTAATTCACGAGTTTCTTCAAGCTCCCTTTGTAAATCTTCTAGCTACAATGAAAATGAAAATCAAATGTTTTTTAGTTAAAAACGTCTATATTGAATATATTTTATTTTACATTCCAGAATGATTGAATCGCTTTTTAAGTTAAAGAGATATAGAAGCCAGCCAAAAAAATCAAAATTTCAATCCAGTTTTCTGAAAATTCTACAGAATATTTTTTCAAACTGCTTGATGGGGACCTTCATTTTAATGTTCTCAAGGTCACCTTAAAACCTTTTAGAGAAATATTAAGTAGAAGTTTCAGAAAACGAGATTAAAATTTGGATTTTTGGGTTGGCACATCTTCAAATGAAATTTGAAAAGTTATTAATACACATATAATTTTTGTTCTTACTTTGGTTTGAGAAACACCTGAAGCGACGATGGTATTTGATTTATTATTGCCTTTATCATCAGAACCATGAATCTGTTGATAGGTCTTCAATTTCTCTATAGCTTCACCTAGATGATGCTCTAGTTTGTCATTTCTTGCTTGCACTTTATTTAGTTCATACTGTAAATCATCTACTTGATTATGAAGTTCAGCTGCCAATGTATCTTTAGCTGTTATAGTATCTTGTAATTCTGACATTTTAAGTGAAATAGTGTGGTATTTTTCATGTAGTTGAATATTGATAGCTTGTAAATTTCGATTTTCTGTTTGAATTTCATTGTTTGCTTTTCTTACAACTTCATCAATGTTAGGTGCTTCTTCTGCAAAAAAAATTTGATATCATGGGTAAAAAAAAAAAAATAATAGATAATTTTCTATTTTTGATGCACTTTGAGTTACCTCCATCAATTTCCCCTTTGAGAGCTAATGTAATTTTTTCATTTCTTTGGGAAAGCCTATCAAAAGCTTGAACAACTTTGGATACAGCTCGCTTGGAAACTTGAACTCTATGAGCAAGTTTATCGTCTAATTCTTCTTTATCCCAAGATGATAGTTGCATAAGAAAAGATGTTGTCGCTTCACTCTCATCTACACAAATACGTTTTTTATGAATAAAATAAATAAAATTGATAGTATCAATAAATAAGTTTATTATTACTTTTATTTTCCGATTCATCTGCTGTTTCTGCATCAAATCTCTGAAGTAAAACTCTTATATCTTCATTCAACTGATTCCAATATCTGTTAACTACATTCAGAACAGCATCGTCTTGAGTTTGACGTTTTTCTAACTGTTCAATTCGCTGTCTTAATTCTGCTTCAAGTCGATGTCTTTGATCTAATCTCTATGAAAGAAAAAAATTACATATTTCATATAAAATTCAAAGAATTTATTTTGTACCAACTCTTCCCTGCATTTATAAAACAATACCATGGTATAATATTCATTGCTGACTCATAAATAGTTATCAGTGTTTGAATATTTACTTACCTAATCTAATTGTTTACAAAATTATAAGTTCCAATTCATTGAAACAATAATAAGCTTTAATATGAAATAAATCATTTAGTTACCTGAGCAAGTTTTTTATTTTGAAACTGCAAAACTTTCATATCCATTTCCTCCAAAGTAGAAATGGGACCAATATATATTGGCTCAAACTGCACCTTCTTAATAGGAGGTTGGCAGCTTGTGTCCCCGCTGTCATTTGCCCTTTTCGACATTTTTGCGCTGGGATTATATTCATTCAAGTTCTACAAAAAAGATAAACAATAGGATCAATAAAACCACGCCTTCTAATATAATTCCAGATTGTTATCAAATGCTGTTTATTGATTAACGTAAGTTTAAAGAGAGAGTAAAAGAATGCGGTATAGGGTGCGGGGTCGATATTCGGAAAAGAGAAAGAGAGAGAGAGAGAGAAAGAGAAAGAACGCATCAAAGTACCACAACTGACCTTGTTCTGTTTGAATAAATAAAGTATAATTCAAACTGTGAGCTTCTTATGGAAATGGAAAATAATTTTGGGGTGAACTTACCAAATCAGTTTATAGGTTCTCGCGACTTTCACATATCTTTTGAGAACGCCATAAATTTGTATTGTAACAGTTTAGACGCCATTGCCACTGTGCTTAGTTTATACAAGCCATCTGTCTACTAAGAGAAAATGTATATGCGCTGGACGTGGAACGCCAATTTTCAGGAGAGGTAGGCGTTTGCACGGTGCTATGTGCATTCGCAATTTGAAGTTGCAGTAAACCTGAATTTCTGGATAACCTATGGTGTAGCTGTGGCGTTAGTGTTACAATCTTAAGTTAGCTCGAGCGCCGAGTGAGAGCGCCACTTTGGTTACGTGCGCGCGAGCTGTGCGAGCGCGGAATCAAATCTAAGACGACAGTTTTGGTCGGGCCTTTTGCTTATTAATAAAGCCCTTGTTACATCTTTAATCTCTCTCTCACTCACTCTATACCCGTGAACTCCTTCTGATATCTTTCAACCAGGGTGTCTTCGCTACCCTGACCCAAGTCAAGTCATATAACCAGACACTTCCTTTATAAACGCGATAGTTGTTACAAGAAAATATGTATCACTTTTTTGAATCATGACAGAATTTACAATGTGGACTGACAGTCTCCGGACGTTCATTTTTGTTCACAAATAGTCAAGTAAAATACACTTGAAGCATCAAATGTGGATCAGAATCGCAATGCCTTAATTGTGGGCAAATTTATTAAAATTGAATAGTAAAATTAAATTATTATTCTGTTCGTAAGAAATAGAAGAAGAAGTCTATTATTGACAAGTTTATTATTTTATTGTTGAAATTCTGTTTTCTACTCATACATAACAAATAAAACGAAATAAATCAACATTTGATTTGCTTTTAGATTTCTATCATTTATTCCAAAACAACTACTAACAATACGTCTTATCTCAAATTATCGATAATTAATTACTTACAATTAACAAGGAGACCGAGCGACGAGTTCTGGAACTCATATTAACTTCTAACATTTTTTTGTTACTTCTTTACTATATAAACGATCTGTGTTTCAAAATCATTTTCTTTTTAACAACCGTCGAAAAATAATGCAAATACAAGTGAGAGATTATTCGATTAGGAATAAAATTGAAGAAGAAAATTTAGAGGATAACAAAATTTTAATCGCTACGCTTACGTGCTAAAGTTGTAGAAAAAAAATAATTTATGCAGCAAATAGCACTATTAATTTAGTTTCTTTTGCAAGGCTCAAGTTACTTTATTTTACTTAAAAAATTTGTGTAATTATTGTATTTGTAAGATGACGTGTTGTGTAGAAATAAAATTGGAGCTTGAGTATATTTAATTATCCATACAAAATCAATTGAAGTTAAGTAGATTATTGAAGAATTTAAAAAACATAGATTATGTGCGACAAAATTCATGTCCGTCGTATCGTTAAGCCTCCCTTCTCGTTTGCATTTGAAAAAATTTTTTTTATATACTGCAATTGAAGACTGATTGGATTTTCTTGCTCCACGTAAAAAAATAGGCGAGCGTCACATAACAAATTCTTCTTAACAGTTCGTCAGAAGTATTGGTCGACTTTACTTTGTTTCGCTTAATGCTTTGGTTTTTTATCGTGAAAAAAGAAATTTGCAATCAATGATAATTATTTAAATCATCTTCATCATCATCATCACAGTCATAGTTAATTAATTCTTTTTTATGAATCACTGCTATCACTAGGATATCCGAGGACATTATTTTTAAAAATTAGTATAAGGCCACGGGGTTGCACGTACATCAGATCAATCTTCCTCACAAAAAGATGAATTTCTATTATTCTCGATATTTAAATTATACATAATTATTTTTTATTCTTCTTCATCTTCTGGGTCATCATCATCCGCCTCATCATCTGTATTATCTCCTCATATAATAATTTTTAATATGATTCAGAATTAAAATTATCGGTATCCTGTGCGTTATCATCGTCTATTATTAGTCTCGCCAAAATCAATAATTTGTTCTTCTAGAATTTTTCAAAATAAAAAACTTACTAATTTTATGAATTTAACAACAATTTTGGAATATGAACGAATATTTGTATTATTATCAAAAAATGGATCATTATTATAATGCTCAAATTGTTAAAAAAATAGCAATTGTTCTTGAAATCGTTATGTTTTTATGAATTGAAATAGTGCAACAATTAAGTTTTGATTGTAATTAAACGGACTGATAACAAACATAGAATTTTAAAATTCTATTTACGAAAGTCTTCCTCAAAAATCAACCATAGAAATTGGTATATGTTCATGAATAATTAATCTATATAATAAAAATTGCAATAATTAGATTCTTTTTAAATATCTATTTTGTTATTGACCTGTGCGGTCAGTCAAAGTTTATTACAGGATAAAGAATTCTCACAAATCTTTCTACTTACTTTTTTTTATATTAATAACTTACATACACTTGTCGTTTAAAAATCTTAAAGTTTAAAATTGTAAATTTTTTGAATGTCATTATAATGTAAGTATGATATTATCAAGTTTTTTTTTCATTGAGACCTTGAAAGTCTCACGAAATTTAACTAGAACTATAATAGTTTCTTGACCTGTTCATTTTGTCAATCAAACTTAGGCATAATCACAGTTTTGATCATTAATACTCAAGAAAATCTATGTTGTTATCTTATAAGATATACTTCAGAGCAGGTACAAAAATAAAAAATATTTTATAATTATATTAAGTGTAACATTGTTATTTTTAAATGGAACTTTCTTTATGAGTTTGAACTGCTAAATGCATAGACCTAAGATACTTAACTAGAGTACAGTGCTTAGTTATGGTTGGGTATAATGCATGTGCCAGAAAAGGTATTTTTTTTAAAGCTCTTCCACTTAATCCAATACTTTCACGACACAGATCAAAAAGCATCAGACTGTGCTTAGTTTTTGAATCTTCTTCATATCCCATCATTTTTAAATAAGCTAAATCTTGAATTGGTTCAGTTTCAATAAAGCCAGTCTGTAACATTTAAATCATTATATTAAAATAAATAAATAAATGAATTCATTTAAATGAATTAGTTGAATAAATTTTACCCTCATTAATTCTTTTACACAGGCGCTGTAAATTTTATAAATAACTTGTTCATTAGGTAGATTAATGCTTTGCTTAATATCAGCACGATCAACAAAAGCCAAGTCAATGGCTTCTGTTAGATTGCTAGTTGTCAAAATTAAGACATTTGGATAACGCTTAATATTGTCAAGTTCAGTAAGTAGAGCATTCACAACCCTTATGGAATCACTGGGCTCTCCACCAGTGCACGTTTTACGAGCATGAGCTAATGATTCTATTTCATCGATTAGTATACATACCAAAGCTTTGGGATCTTGCAACAATATTTTGATTTGATTAAAAAGACTCATGACTAATTTTCCACTCTGTAAAAAAATAATATTAATCATTTGAAAAATGTCAGATTAAGTTGACAAATATAACAATTTTTACCTCTGAGAACCATTTGGAAAATAAGCTATGACTATTTATTTCAACTAGCTCTCCTCTTGTAAAATAATTACCAAGACGAATGGTAGCTTTTTGGGCTAAAGCTTTACATAAACTAGTTTTACCAGTACCAGGTGGCCCATGCAAGAGAACTACTTTATTCCAACTAATAATATGATGATTCACTTTTCTCTCAGAATAAATCATAGCAGTTTCGATGAAATTTAAAAGCTGAGTAAAGAAATAAAAATTAAAAATTTTGCCATGCAAGAATAAATTTTTGTATCAATGCTTTTACATTTTCTTTAACTCCTGCTTCATAAAATAAGTTTTCCCATAAACCATAGAATTCTTCTGATGGCAAAATCCAATGAGCAGCTGCCGAAATTTCTTCCCCATCTTTTTCCATAGTTTCCATAGCTACCTCTTCTTGATTTAGACGGTAAATGTGAATCTTAATATTCATTGCCCTTAGTTTTACATGAGTTTTCTGATGAAAAAAGGTAAAATTTTTATTCGACAAGAGATCTTTAAACTGAAATAAATAAGTTATACCTCTTCTTGCTTGCATGAACAAAAAATAGAAACAACATGATTTTTCAAGGCTTCAAGAGAAAATGATTCTGCAATCAGTGATTTATTTAAAATAACTTCTTCATTGGCATCCAGTTCAGCGTTAACCAATTCTTCAACTTCATGTTCAGGCAATGTACTAAACAACAAAGAAAATGTATTGACAATTTTTCAAAAAATATTTAAAAAATTGAAGTAATAATTAAAAGATTTCATTGACACTTCAATTCTTGCAGTGTCATGTAAAACTAAACCACCACAGATTTTTATTCTTATACAGAATCGGCAATAAGTTCAAATTATACACAAAGGATTCAATAAGTTGGAATTCATCACTTACCTATCAATTTTTTGACAGACTTCAACGTGCAGTATATCGGCCATTCTAAATCAGTAATGACGAGTGTATACTTTGGTATCAAAAATAAGTACTGACAACTAAAATTGTTTGAACGGACGCAAACGTAAACTACTGTTGAGCAAGATGATGTTATAGATGATGTATACGTCGTGTCGAGGAGCACCTATATTGGAAAATGAAAAGTCTGCATCCGGCGCCGAATTGCAAATCGTAAGTCGTAACTCACGAGGACGTCAATTTTAGCGCGAATCCAACGGTTCTAGAATGAACAAGTGCAGTAATTTTTGCCGCCACTTGATAGTATGTGGCGTGCGCAGCATACTGAAACGCCGAGCAGAATGCAGATGGCAGATCCGCAGATGCCTCGTTATTGGTCACCCCGTCGCGCAGTTTATTATGATTTGACATTTGAAAAACGACATGAGACATCAATAGGCTCGCGGTATTTTATTTTTTTGGCATCAGCTTATGGATTTCCTTCCAAATTAGCGTGCATTTTTGAGCATGAGTTTTATACATCGATACTATCTGCCCATAAATAATCTAAGTGATCGTGAAAAAATGTGTAATTGATAATTAAAATGTGGGGTGAACCTACCGCGCGTTTCCGTAGAAACTAAGATGCGGCCTGTAAATGCTTGCATCTATTGATAAAACTTCATCGTTATTTTTGGATTTATACAGATCTCACGCTGTATTTAAATTGTTTCCTAATTGAAAATGTTGAACGTAATCGATCTCGACGATGAGTACAACAAACATAAAATCAGTACCTGCAAAAAAGGTACTTGCCTGGTGCCGAAACCCAAATTTACCTACGACGATTGGCGTTACAACAATGCTGCCAGGTTCGTATCTATCTGAAACTTCGCTTCGATTCAAGTACGAGTTTTGACAAAAAAATGTTTAATGTAGATTATACTGCTGCGACGCGCAACAAAAATTGGCCAAAGAAGTTATTGCCAAGTTGGACACTGTTTGCAAGCTTAGTACGGAGTCTGTCAAGAGTAACAGAGATGAAACTAATCATTGCCTCGACGACCGCATCAAAGAAATAGAAAATTGCAAACAAGAATTATTGCTAATTCGAAGAGAGTTGCAATTAGAAATTGATGCGCTCCAAGCGTACAAAACTCGTTTGGTCGATTCTTTGAAGTCACTAAAAAGTAATGCTCTGGAAACTTGTAATAAGTGTCTAGTAGCTAGGTACTTGAATTCATTTCATTTTTTCTCCTTAAATTACACATTACTATGCTGATTTTTTTTTTTTTTTTTAATTATCAGAGAACATCGAATAGGAATTGATTTGGTGAGCGATAGTGTAGAAAAGGAACTAAGAGAGGAATGCGAAGGTATTCGAAGGGCTGAAAGTTTAATTAGTGAAACTCTGGAAAAAATGGACGAACAACTTCGCCGTTTGAAAGCAACTCAGTACTTTATTGATCGCGACCTCGAAGATAAAGAAAATAATTTACGCATTGATCGATTCAATACCACTCTCAAAGAAACTAGTTTGAATCTGAGCATTTATCACGGAAGTTCTGCTTTGAGCGCCTCGTAAAATCGATATCATTTTGATCGGCAATCAGTTTTTTACACCATGTTTTTATTAATTACTGCTATTTCAGGAGTATCAGCATCGAAGAATGGGAATTACAAACGAAAGAAAACATTGATTCTTCTGCAAAAGAAATGCTAAATGCCAAGAAATTTCGCTCTCAAATCGAACTCATTCTCAAGCAAATCATGGATGATTTGAAAAAGAAAAAAATTGCCACTGATAATGCTTTTCGACAAAGAATCGATGAAACGAAAGCCATCAAAGAAAAATTGGAACTCGAGCATTCGGAGGTACTTACTTGAGATTTTGATGATGCACAATTGCGATACGACTTATTAAATCGATCTAACTTTTATGAATTAAAGATAATGAGACAGGCGGACGAAATGACTCGAAATATCACACGATTAGAAAAACTAATTGCTGAAAAAGAAGGATATATTGCATTAGCACATACACGCTTAGGAAATCGCTGTCAGAGACCTGGCTTAGAACTAACGCGCGATAATGTAGAAAAAAGCTTAATCAATGAGGTTTCCAACTTGAGGCAAATGGTTGCCCAACTTCAACAAACACTATTTGAAGTAAATATGATAAACAAAATATTTAATATTTATTTAAATAATATTCAACACATAAAAATCTCAATTCATTAACAAAACCATTCATTTACACAGGCTCAGGCATCTCTTCGTTTTCTGTTAAAAATGCAAATGCAACTTGAAGAAGACATAAATATAAAAACAAATTCTATTAAAATTGATGAAGTTCATTGTATGACTATGCGCCAAAGCATTGATTATCGAATACTTTAACATATCACTTGGAATCACAAATAAAATTAACTTGTAAACATATTTGCAAATTGCTTTGACTGTTTTTTATCTCTTTCTTTAATATTATTTGCAAATAATTGCAGTTCTTTGTCAATGGTAGCTTGCAAAGATTTGTCTAATTCAGCTGCTTTTGTTAAATCTGCTATTGCTTCTTTTTCGTTCCATGCCCCAATATGTGCTTTGCCCCTTTTATAAAATGCTTTAACATTATCTGTGAATGAAAAAAATTTTAAAAATAAATAAAACAAAATTTTGCATCACATGTTACTTACTTGGGTCACTCTTTAGAACAGTATTACAATGCTCTATGACGGCATAATATTCCTTATTAATAAGTTTACATTGAGAATAATTTAATAGTAGTGGTACTTTTAAGGCATCCAACTTTAACCATTCTGGGTCCTTTGGTTTTTCACTGAATGATAAAGGATTTTAATTAAAATAATATAATCAAAAATTTTTCAGATTTCACAAACCTAAGCATAAGTTGTTCCACTATTCCAATTGCTTTAGCATACATTTCTGATGCTGCTTCATAATTTTTTTGTCGAAATAAAGCATTTCCTTTTTCTCGTAGAACAGGAACATTATCAAGTTTTTCTTTTTCAGTCATTTGCCATGATTCTTTTTCATACTCAGTAGGTTGTACAGCTTGTAATAATTCTATAGTAAATTCTAAATTTTGTGGATGTTTAATGAGATCATTCAAATCATCATATCCAATTCCTTCATTTTGTAATGTTACTCCACAACAATGGTGAGATCGTTGATCATTTGGTTTTCCAGACTCTCTAAGAGTTTTAGATACAAATGGGTAGGGCCCAACCAGCTAAATAAACATTTTTAAAGTGAATATATTACAAAATAAATTATTTTTTTTATATTTGTTCTTACAGATTTATCAACAGTAAAAACAGCAACTTCGTTGATAGCCATTTTTTGAACAATTACTTCCCAAACTTCAAGTTTAAATTGTTTTCCAATGATAAGTTCCATAGGTTTACTCATTTTTCTGCTATCATCAATCACTGTTTTCGCAGCATCACATTTTGTAGTTTGAAAATGAAAAATTACCTATAAAAAATGAATTTTGTTACATAAAATATTTTGGAAATAAAAAAACAAGTTTACATTAGGCTACAAACTTTGGTTCCAGGAACGAATTTAACAACTTTTTTCCCTGAGTGAAGTATTCTTTTAACAATAAGGTTATCCATTTTGATTGATTTTTCACTGAGATGTCAAACAGTTTCTAAAATAGTGTCATTATTTAAAGACAAACAATACACTCGTGAGTCTGTGAAAATGACAGTTCGACGGGTGTTTCGGTGATTGGTGTGTACACAAATAAAAATGATCGCAATCAGTTCTTATCGACGTGAAACAGAAAACTATTTTATCAACGGATAGGTAAATTTATCTGAAAATTTTAATCGAACTTTAAATAGTTTTGGTCTTAGAATTTATTATACGATAAAATTTTAACAGAAAAGGTTTTATTTCGTAAATAAGAAATTTATTTCTTAAAAGTGTAAAAATTACATTTTATATGGTAGAGTAAATTGTATAAATATTCAAAGTAGAAAAATTATATTTCATATTTAATTAATTACATGACAGAAAATATTTACAAATGTCTTACACTTAGCATATTTTTCAGTTATCAGTATTTTACCTAAATTGATAAAATATTGCACTTATATAAAAAGTATTGATCATTTATTACTATTTATATCATAAATTATTAGCACATGTACAATATTTATAAAAATGTTAAAATTTTATCATTATTGAAAATAAATTTTAGTTCAATTCTTTGTAAATTAAAAAAATTATTTGAAAAATTGATTTATTTATTCAAATTTTTTTTTCTAAAATGATATTAAAAAAATATTTGTTATTTACATTTAAATTCATTCGTAATATTTGTTCACTTTTCAATGTAGTTTCAAGTAGATGGTAATTCATTATAAACTCCTAATTATATGAATTTACTAATATTTTTTAATACTGGATACTTTTTGGGTAAAATTTTTCTAAGACAACCGTTTTTTATAAAAACTTCATTGCAAATTTTTAAGTTTAACAATTAATAATTCTTAATAAAAATTTATGAAATAAATCAGTTAAATATAAATAAATATAGAATTCTCTTTTATAAAATTAAATGTAATCCTATAAGGTTGTAGATGTAACAGCACTGACACCATGAACCAATACTGTAGGTGGTAAATCCACAGTCAGTTCAGTTAAAAGTTGCAGATATTGTTTTCGTAAAACATCTCTATCCCATGTATTAACTGTTGGAGGTGCTGGTAAATATATAAAAGTAGCTGCAGTTTGAGGACAATGATGCTTGATCAGTTTGTTTACACTAGATAAAATAAAATGTATTAATATCTTATTGATTATTAAATAAATATAACATTTATATATTTTCAATTAACTTACTTGAGTATATAAGCTCTTGACACATTGCTTGAAACACTTTCTATCGTATCAGCATTTGCTTCATATGAACTTTCAACTCTACTCTCTAACAATGGACGACCATTTAACTCACCAATTTGTTCATTCCAATCAGAAATTTTAGTTATAGATGCTGATATACGAAGCATATCCAAAAGTTTTCGTAACTTATGTTCATTTGATACTCTAGGACTTGCATCAATTGAACCACGAGATTCAGAAATGTTCAAACTGGAAGAACTTTTATTAATTTCACAGTGAAATACACGTAAATGTAAATTCTTCCAATTTGGAACCATATTTATAATGCATGCTAACTGTAGCATGAAAAGGGAAGTTGTATCAAATGGATCTTCATCTGATGGTTGGAAAAAATTTACTGGCCATACATCAATATATTTGAAACTAGAGTTCCTGTAAAATATTAGTAACATTAGGTTTAAAATATCAGACTATGTACAACATTGAAACTTACTTTGTTAATTGTGATTTATCAAGGAGATGGAAATTTCTGCATAGGCACAAATTTTTGTTCATTTTCAATACATCTTGACACATACCAACATATTGCAGCTCATCTACTGCTTTATCAGAATTTAATTGTCTTAATGGAAAAACTTTTCCGTTGGCATATGGAGTAACATTTTCAAAAATATCAGTTGCATAAGGAGAATTTTCAAAAAAGTCTCTTGGAATTTCATCATCATAAAATCCTAACACAATAGTGTTTGGTTTCATTGCTCCCATACCGGATAATCTAATTAGATGATGCAAACCTTCTTGAACTGTTTTTGTTATGGTCAATTCAGCAAAAGCTTTAACTTTCATGTGATCAATCAGACTAAGCCAATGAGGATACTCTTCAATGGTTGGGTCAACTTTTCCAGTAAACTCTCCAACTTTTACATGCCCAATAACATAAAGACCTCCCTTTTTTAGGTCATTTATGAAATCAATTAATGGGCAAGCTGATCTTGGCGAAGCAACCATGAGTAATATTTGAGGTCGCCAAAATTTAACGTGATCTTTTCTAGAATCTAACATCAATAGATATTTGCGAACTTGATGAAAAATTAAAGCTTGTGAAATGCTTCCCCAAGCTGCATTTTTACTAGGAGAAAATAAATGGAGAACAATAACTAGTATAAGACATAATATTATACTGCTTGATGCATAAATGCTGTTGATGATAAACATCATGACAATTGTCCCAAGAAGACCTATAGTAGCTGTATGCCAAGTAAAGTAATTATAAGTTGGTCTGAAATTCGGAGCACTAGCTAATTCAAGTCCAAGACATGCCAAATTTGTGGCTAAGTAACTCAATAAAAATAGAACTGAATTTACTTGAGCAATTGTATTCAAAGATCCAATAAGCAATATGATCTGAACAAGCACCCACGATGTGCAGACTGCACCAATTGGATTGCCTTTCCAAGTTGTACGTGTAATGAAATTCAAAAGTGATCCTTAAAATAAAAAATTATTTATAAATAAGGTTTATGTAAAGTAACATCAATCTAACATGAAAATTTAATTTTTCTAATTTTCTGAGATTTTTCAGCTAAATATATTTTTTTAAAAGATCCTGCAAAAAAGATTTACTTGTTTCTTAGTCAGTGCACCACATAATAATGTTTTACAAATATCAGAAAATGAGTGAAAAATTGTTTCTTTCACGTGGGTCTTTGCACTCTGCTGTAGATAAATATTCAATAATAATTATGATCCTTACCAAATACGTTATCTTTTGCAAGAGCCTCCAAAACTCTACTTGATCCAATTAAATTACTTAATCCAGCACTGAAAGTAGCAGTTAAAATTCCAACTGCCACAAAAGGTGGCCACATGTTAATAGGCATCATGTAAATAAAGTTATTTTGAAGAAGAAATCGTTCTGATGTAGCAGCTGTTAACAATGATAGGAGTATGTAACAGAAAAATGTAAATAGTACAGCTGAAAGAGTACCCCTTGGGATATTTTGTCCTGGATTCTTCAACTCTCCTGTTTGAAAAAATTCGAATTATATTTGATAATAGTCTTTAAAGTTATATAATAAAATAGAAAAAATAAATAAATAAATAAATTACCACTCATATTAGCTCCAGCCATGATACCAGTTACTCCACTGAACAATACACCAAATACACTGGCAAAATCACTCATAGATCCTTGACTTGAATAATCTGCGCTGTAACTAGGATATAAGTTATCTCTCAAAGTAGCCAGTGAAAGACCAGTGTATGTGCCATTACGATGATATGTACTGTTTTGTACTAATGTATTTGCCTCAGGTATAGGTACCTAAATATCATATAAATATTGTGAACAAAGAATATATTTTTTAAATATAAAAATTACTTACCTCAAAATTTCCTTCAACTAAAAAACTTACAATAGTACTTCCTAAGCAAATACAAACAATTGCTAAAATAGCAACACTTGTTTTTGCAAACATCGAAGCTCCAATGAGACAAACTAACAGGTTTGCTGTGTTTAGAATAGTACAATACAAAAATCTCCACCATCTACCATCAGGTATAAGAGCATTTTCTCCTACTAAATAACCAGAAGGTCCAAAATTTTCAATCAATCCTTCAGCACATCCAGATATACATAATGCACTGGAAACTACATTTGCCATAAAAAATAAAGTTCCAATTGATCCACCGAACTCAGGACCAAGAGTACGACTGATCATAACTAAAGATTTTATAAGGAATAGTAATTCAAAATATAGGTACTTTAATGAAATTTAAAATGTTTTGTTCTTTAAAGGATACAATAAGCGCCTCCACCTTCTACAGCCCCATTAGTAGAAATAGCACATACCGATGAGACTGTAAATACTAAAATTCCATAAGCTATAATAAATTGGGCTAGAGTAACAAGCAATCCAGCATTTCCAACAATATATCCTGTTGATATAAAAGTAGCTTATTAAATAAAACTGTTTTTATTATAAACCATATGATATTCAAGATTATTAATATACCCATCCGTATGAAAACTAATGCACTGAACATAGATAAAGTGACAGGACTGAAAACTCCTGCAAATGTACCAAGTGTTCGGCTACTGTCAACATTTAAAGAACTGAATTCGACATAGCCGTCTCTTTCATCAATCGAAGGATTTCTCATATTGAATAAATTTCCTAATCTTTGAAAAAAACCCCTTGTTCTTATAAGAGGCACTTTTTCTCCCGTTACTCGGACAGTCTCCACATTATTTGTCGATCCTAGTTCAGCGGCGATCATTTTAAGGCAAATTTTTTTTCACTAGAAATTTTCGACTCAACTGTTCTTCATAACTATCATCATGTAACGGATATCCTATAATATTGTATCTAAAAGCTATTTTCAAGCAAAATTATCAAATGACAATGGCCTTACATGTCAAGATATCTAAGTTTACTACTGTTATGCCTGTGAAAAGTGAATCACCAATAGAAGGGTATGAGTACAATAATACCGAAAAACATCAACAAAGCATTGCGAATCATGAGGCCGTTCACCGATTTGACGTTTATGAGTTTACTGGCTTATGTCAGATGGGGGCTACTACAATGCAATGCAGCGCAATTTTAATTCTCACCTTTGGTACGATAATTAATGCAAATCTTATCATGTGCATTTCATGAAAATTATTCTAGACCAGATCACGAATATTTTTCCGAAAGTGGATATTTAAAGAAAATGCTTCCAAACGGAATTAATTAAATTACGGAATTATTCAAGTTCAAAGTCAATATCTTCATTAGTTGAAAAAAAGTAAATTCTGCTAAGATGAAGAAAATTATCAAATTTCTTAATATTTTCATTAATTTGTAATAGCGTTTTTCCTGTAATTTTCCTGAAGAAAATGAAGTAAATTATACATCCAAGCATGTATATTTACCCTCGCAAGTTGAAATACAGCATCAAGACATATAATTCAACCATTATATGTTGACAATAATTTTCAAGCACACAGATAAAGGACTCAAAATAAAATAAAGCTCAAATAATTATATAGGCTATATACATTTTTTATTTTTACTAAAATAAACCATTTATATTACACAATTATTGATTTGATGTACACAAAAGAATATTGTTCCAAATTTGTGCACAGCACAACATTCAATTTGCAATTTTAATTATTAGACAATAAAATGAATAAAAAAGATTGTCTAATCATTTTCATCAGAATCATCACTTTCTTCTTCATCTTCCAGTTCTGGCATAGGAAAACGTAATATAGCAGCAACACCTGTGAGTTGCTCTAATTCTGTAGATAAAAATGATTCATAGTAAATGATTAATATTTTCTTGATTTATTTTTTAACTATATTAAAAATTTTGATAAGAATACTTACGTTCACCAGATATATGCAAACTTGAAAAAATTTTAACGTCCCCATTGGCATCTCTAACAGTTTCAACAAGGCTAACATATTCTTTTCTTTCAGCTATATTTTGACACCTAGACAATTTTTTATATATTTTGTGTTACACTCAAAATTAAGAAGCAATATAAATTTAGGAAAGTAATATAGTAAATATTGATTGCTTGTACTAATTGTAACTTTTTAAGATGCATATACAATGTAATGTGATTTTCATTGCAGAAATCAATAATTTAATTTGAACTGCTTATATCCAATAATACCATTTTTATAATATGCAAGCAGAAAATAATCTTTCTACATCATAATCTAATAGGAATTCTTAATTTCTGCAAGGACTTTTTTTGGTAGATGATAATATACTATTTTGACTGGGTTTAGTATAACCTGGTGGGTTATACTAAAAACTAAGTAACTCATTTTTACCTGAATAGCTTGTCTGAAATGAGAAGTGTTTCTATTGCTTGGGCTTCACTTGCAGCTAGAACATGCTTTTTACCATAAAAAGCTCTCGATGGATCTGTTTGAAGCATTGCACAAAATGATTCTAAAGCTTTTACTTCTCCTGCAGCTTTAGTATCAGATATACGTGATATCACCGCCGGATCAGTTAATACCTCTACAAAAATTAAGAGTCACTTTTAAAACTTTGTTGCTTAATTTAAAAAGAAAATATAGATACCTCACCTCTTAGAGAGTGTTTAAAACCAGAACTTGAATGGACTAGTACGAACATACTTTTATTATCTATAATTGTTTTGTTATCAGTTTTAACTGCTTGCTGAACCATGTAGTTCATTAATTGATCTTTAACAAATCCAGGACTTGCCAAAATAATGCATTTTACAACATCGAAATTTACATGCCTGAGAATTGCTTGCATAATGCTATCATAAAATCGTGCCAATCCCTGGAAAAAATTAGTTATTTAAATTTGAATAAGTTTCTAATTAATGATTCTTACTTTTTCATGTTGAGACACGCTTCCTTTCCTTTTACGAGGAATCACTTGATCTATTTTTGCACGAACTATGGTCATGTTTGAAGTTATTAAACATACATGTGCAATACCTTCTTGCATAACCACGGCAGCAACGTCAGCATGCTTAAAAAAAATAAAAAATCAATATTTCACTATCTCAATTGTTAAAAATTAATTCTAACTTACTTGGGTAGGATCGCATGCCAGATCAACTCGTTCCAAAGCTATTGAGTCCCATTTTGGCTTTCTAAGACCAAATTTTCTATTCAATTCAACATCTAAGGTATGATAAGCACCAGTCTGCAAATAAAAATTTGTAGAAATTGTTATTAGTTAAAAAGTAAATAAAATTGAAGTTAATAATTTTTTTTTTATTTTAATTAGTACTGTACCTTAACATATTTATTTTCTTCAATATTTCGTCCTTTAAGTCTCAAAACACATGCTTGAGTATCAAAATCTATTCCTTCAACGCAAATTGTTAATGTTGTTCTTACTCTGTAACTATTTGAACTACCAGTGGAACTTTCAGTTTGTACTTTTCTAAATGAAAAATAAATTATTTAGTAAAAACATTTTAAAAATGTTAGAGTTTTGATCAATATAATATACCTGAGCCATATGGGGTTGTACCCCATATATAGGGCCCTGGTTTCAGTAATAAAACAATTAAATAATCAAATACCTGATAGTAGAGCAACTAACATAATCTCCTTCACTGACAAGGTTATAAACATGCCACATGTCCTCTGTATTTTCAGGAACTAGATTAACATACCTTGAAATAAATTAAAAAAAGATATAAGCGTTAGATTTATACAAACGATGCTGGAGAAAAAGATTACTTTTCTACAACTTACCCCTCTCCATCCTTATCAACATTTTTGGCAACTAATTTCATGGTGTTAATGTATTACTATAAAAAAGCTAAAAAAATACAATCAAAGAATAAATAATCTCATGTTAAATTGCACAGTATTTTTTAGCATATTGATTGTTTACTTACACAAGAAGATAAAATAAAATCAAAACACAAAAATGTAACACTTTCAAGTCTCTTTCGTCAATCGATGCATTTTATATTGCACTTTTGATTGTCAAGATGGAATGATGTATTTAGATTTAAAGACCTTACGTGGTATTGATTAAAATACATAATATCAAAAAAGCAAACACCAGTCAAAAATTCGAAGTTTTGAAGGTTATAGATCATTGTACTATGAGAAACCTATGGAGTTCCTGCATGCAATGCAAGAGCATAAATTTGGTGTCTTTCATATAAAAGTCATGCGATTCAATAGATTGTTGAGTTTAGTTACTTTGCGATGATTGCGGCAAGTTGCTAGCAAATAGTAAAGGGGAAATTCGTGATAAGGATCTTAAACTGAATGTAGATGGCGTTAATATGTAGTAACAAGTTGAAAATGTCATAACATGCTTGCAATGCGTTTCCGCATGAATGTAATACTTATTGATAAAAAACAATCACAATTGACTACAAAACCGGTATTCTGTAAATTATTTTAGAACTTACAAAAATCAGAAAGCACCACGAATGGTTAAGGCGTTTTAACGTATTGATTTTAAACCGAGAATTTCGATTTCATTCTTCAGATAATAATATGTTAACAAATACCTATGTTTAATTATAAAAAGGTAATTTAACTGATTGATTCAATTCTCAAAATTTATTTATAATAATTTCACGCATTAAAGTTATTTTCAATATTCTTAGTAGATTGTATTCTAAATCCAGAGCATTTCGAATATTTTTCGGGGAAAAACTACCTGTGTGACACCTGTGTTGTGTTTTCATAGCAATCACAAATTTCAAAAGTATTAAAAATTAAATGATTTTGTCTGCTGGTGGATGATTTTAAAATTAAAGTAACGGATTTTCAAAGATTTTCAACATTAAAACAAACAAAGAGATATAACCGATACAAAAGGGTAATGTATTTCAAGTTTACAATAGTAATGTATAAACACAAATTGAGTTTAATAAAATTAGAACAATCGAGTCAGGCCTTCAATGTATAGCGTAAATTTTCTTTCAATAAGCCGCGAGTGTGGCGCGAAACTAACGTTATAGCGAGTTAGTTTCACTTGACGGTAGGATCGCTGTTACGGCATTTGACTTTTTTGCGATTAAATTGTTTAGACTTCTTCTGTAATTTGCGTTTTGTTGTGTTATAGTCTGCTCTCAGACGGTCAAGTGAATTCCCCTAATGCTGAGTATTTGACTCAGTCATTGGTTTCGGCAGACGAAGATCGCGCTAATCGAAGCGAAGATCCACTCAACAGTCACGCAGTCACCCTCACCCCTCGAGATCGAGCGCACTTACTACTATACTTGGTTTAGACACGCGTGTGATAGTGAACACAAACAGAATTTTCAGCTATCTATATTGTATACAAGTATCTGTATACAAACTACAAATAAAATATCTGTACATCGTATATTGTTAAAATATATATTCCTTTGTGCGATAATAATATTGCATGAAGCAGTACCGCAACATGGCGAATCAAGACAAAGGACGCAAAAAGTGGGGAAATAATCAACAAGGTACAAAAAACTTTTTGTGCGATTTATGTTAGGTTATATTATGGTTGAGCGTCAGTTCATCAACTGTCAAATTTATTGTTGATGTTATTGCGCATTACAAGCAGTCAGTGATTTCGATCAAATGAAGATCAATTTCTGCCTTTAATTATTATGACTTTCGGATGGATTTAACCTGTGAACTGATATGTTATGATATATACATATATATAGATATGCGCGTATATACATTATACATATAGATGAAAGGAAGATGAAGTTGATGTGTAATTGCGACATTTGTGTTGTTTTTTTCTGCCGGTCTTGGTGGCTTCCAATATTATCGCTTTTTCAAACAACAACTGATTTCTGTTTATTGTTTTGTTCCATTTTCGTGGAATTATGTAATTCTAAGCCGCTTTATTTTTGGAATCGCTATACCTTTAATAAAACAATTCCGCTTCTGAACGATAACGACACATAGTCGTTTTATTTTATCATTATTTATTTTCTACAAAGAATAAATATTCCATTTCAACTTTATACTGCTCTGTCTTTTTTAAATATTAAAACTTTTTAAAAAGATTTCAAGATGCTATTGTTATACTTTAACTATATTTTTTACTATTTGTATGTATGTAGATCCCCCAAATCATTCATCTGATCATAAGTTTGAAGAAGATAGATTTGGAGCTATGCGTGGTGGAAGTGGCAGACCACCCTCTAGAGCACTCTATAAGCCTGGCAGTGGTCCTTTGAGAAAATCAGGTAAAGCAGATGATTATGAATCAGTCAACGACATCCCAAACAGATCAAGAATGTCTTCTGGTCCAGACCAATTAAAATCTTCCCATTATGATATTCGTAGTAGACCTAAGACTGTGAGAAAACAACAGATTGATACTATCAGTGATGAATTCAACAATCTACAAGTTAATTCAAAAAGACAAGTAGATGATAATAATTCAAGTGGTTTGTCATATTCTTCTAAACCAAAGCATGTGTCATTTAATAATGATTCAAAAAGAAAAAAGAAACCAGAACAACCCTTATATATAGCCAAAAAAGGGAAAGAAGCAATGGCAGATCAGGATGTCTCTGTTAAGTAAGTAAATAAGAATATTAAATATGTGATGTTTTCTTGGATTATAAATATTTAATCCTAAAAAATTAAATTCTAAAATAAAATCATAATTTTATTTTACAGTAAACACAATCATTCACAATGGGATAAAAATAACGACAGGGTAGAAAACAGAGACTGGTTTACTTCCAAAAATCGTTCTCAACACAATGAAAGTTCAGTTCATTCAAATTCATCTAGTAACCATTGCAGTAATGATGATTTTAGAGGTAAAAATAAAGAAGATCATTTTAAACGTTTTCATTTAGATAGAAAAAATCGTCATTCATCTGATGTTCATGAACAAAAATCTATGGAATCATCAATGGCTAGTAGACAATATGGTAATCGTTTTAGAGATGAAGTTCAGGTAAATTTAATTTTTCCAATTAGATGTATACATATGTTTTTACTCATTATCTTATGTGAAATTATTTATTTTATTAGAATTCAGATTCAACTCATATGCCAGCAAAAACTTCACATGACTTGAATCGATCAAGAGATACACACAGTGCTGAACCATATTCCTACAAACCACCATCTGGTCGAGGATCTAAGGAAATCACAATGCCAAAAAATTTGAATATAGATATTTTACCTCCACGTTTACAAGCAAAATACATTAGAGAGCATGGTCCTCAATCAGTTAGTCATCGCAATAATTCAATTGCAAATCAAGAAGAGCCTTGGGATGGAAGTACAGTAACATTCAAAGTAAAGAAAATTTTCTTATATTGCTTTTCTTGCATTTTTAATAATATTAGGGAGAATTGAGTAAAATTACAGAGAGTTTGAAAAAATTAATGAAAACTTAAGTCTTATAAAGATGTAAAATAAGAGATGAAAATAAGTGTAGGGTGAATTTTTCTCTAAAATAACCCAAAAGAGACTAAAAAATAACTTTAAGAATATTTTTACTTTGCTTGCTGCAAAAATGTACTGCATAAAAAAACCATAAATTTTATCTATACTAGGGTTCTTCTTCACATCCAACTTCAACACCTCATTCTGAAAATTGGTCAAATTCACAACCTATACATCCAGCTAGAGGAAGAGGAAGAGGTAGATATAAATTAGGAGAGATTAGCAATCCTTTGTTACGACCTGGTACGCCGGATCAGTCTTCCGGTCCAAGCTCGAGATCTGATACACCAAATCAAGAATATACAAATAGGTATAGTTGAATTTTATTTATTATGTTTTAATAATTTAATTATAATCAGTATTAAAATATAAAACTTTATCCGTCCTCTAAGGTCGTATGATCGTAGAGGAAGTAGCAGTACAGTTTATACCAGCACAGAAAATCTGAATCGTGATAGTTCTTTAATGCCTCCACCATCTTCGCTACCTTGTTCATATCGATCGATTGGCAACAGATGTCAATCTCCAAACAGTAGTTTGAGACAAACAACGCCATCAAGCAGCTTACCAAATAATACTCATCAAACGTAAAAATTGTTTCACTGTACTATATAATTTTATGAAACATTTAATAATTATTGTATTTCCTTACACAGTTACAAAATGAATAACAACAATAGTGATTCTAATTGGGCTCAAACAAAAGAAATAGTACAAGAATCTGTCGCAAATCCAAATAAAAATGACTCCAGTAGTTTTGGACGTGATGATAAATTAGAAATTCTGGTATTGAAACTAAAATCAATGTCAATTTTAATTTTTAAACCTTTTTTATTAAATCGTTACATATTTTAGGACTGGTATGAAGAAGTTGAATTAACTGAAAGATTGGAAGCTGAAAAGATGAGCAGAAGTTCTTCAGTATTAAGTTTACAAGAAAATAGTACCTCGCATTTTTCTCAACCTTCGGGAAGTAGAAGTACCAGTAGAAGAAAAAGTGTAAAAAGAAAAAATAAACGCTCCGGTCGAGATAGGTATGTTCATAAAAACTTATAAAAAAATATATAAAAACAGATTTACGTTACATATTAATTTTTAGAAGCCGAGATGTAATAGAGGACATGACGACGGAACGTCAAAATAACCAGCAAAATAGAGAAAATGACCAATGTAATAATAATAAGAAAAGTAGTACCTGCACAGGTAGTACTATTTCGAATAATAAAAGATTTGATCGAAGACGTAATAATTCACATCGCAGTCGAGAAAGCAGTAAAGAAAGAAACCATCGTGGAGGGAATCGAGGACCTGATGAATTCCAAAGAAATAGGTACTGTTGAATACATAATTGAATAAATTATCATTATATTGAATAATTATTATATTTTTTGTAATTTTGTCGAAAATTGTAGATCATCTCAATCTCAAAATATGGAAGAAAATTGGCGAACTGCAAAGACGTCGATATGTGAATCGGATGATGGTAGACGTACTCCTTTATCAAGCTCTACATCGATAAGCAACTCTGGTTCAAGTTCACTTCAATATCAGTCTTCGCTACAGGGAACTTCGTCTTTCTCTAGACAGCAGCAGCCAAAAAGAACCTTGTTTGACCCAAATAATCCAACCAAACCTATTGTCGTAACCTCTCCTGGAAGTAGAGCGGCTTCTCAACTAAGGTATTATTCATATCATTCAGTTTGAATTAATTTTAATTTTGAACTTCGAAAATTAAAATTTTTTGAATTTATCGAAATAATTGATATATGCAATATTTATTTTCAGAGAAAATGATACTGCCATCAAGACACCGAGTATCTTAACATCAATACCTGGAACTCAGTCAATGACTCAACATGGTTTTCACAGTACAATTGCAGATAAACCACCTTTCATACAAGTACCACCAACAGATCAACTCAATAACATCAAGCCATCGTGGTATGATCCGTGTTCTGAAAGGTAATATTTTCTTTTTTGAAGGAATTTTCATCGTGAAATATTTAACTAATGAGATTTTGTTAGTTTTCGATCGTCTAGTCACCCGTACTTACTATTGGACATTGAGAGGGCAGATCTAGAATTACAATTTCTGCTTAGTTCAGCTTCCTTACTATCACAATGGGACAGAATTTCTACAATTCGTAACTTTCATCAAAAAAGTTTACAAACATTGCTTATGAATGATCTTAAGTTTTGTCAAACCGAAAATATTGAGCAACATTTTTGGAAAATCACGTATTATAATATCATTGAAATATTGAGAAAATCTGCGCCTAAAGAAAATACCGAATTGCAAGAACAACATAAAAAGCTTGTACTACAAATAGTTGAAGAAGGAACAGTATACTTTACAAATTTGCTCTCATGCTTGGAAACTACTTATGACTTTAAAATCGAATCATATTTATCTTTATCAACGTCCCCCAATGGTCTTGGAGCAATTGGATTAGCATTGATCAGTGCCCAAAAAATTTTCCTATTTTTGGGTGATTTAGCAAGATATAAAGAATTGATAAATGAAACAACCAATTATGGAAAATCACGGCAGTAAGTGTTATATGCTTCACTTATGAAAAAATAAAAAATATAGATAATAAAAATTGATTCAATTTTAGATGGTACCTGAAAGCCCAGCAAATAAATCCAAAAAACGGCAGACCATACAGTCAATTGGCATTACTAGCAACTTATGCTGTAAGTATAAAAGTATTTATAGTAAATAAAACAATCATAGCTTTTATTAAAATTTGTTTCACTTGAATCAGATCATATTATATTATGAATAAAATTGTTATTTTACAGCGGAGAAAATTGGATGCTGTATATTATTACATGAGATCTCTAATGGCCTCGAATCCCTTTCCATCAGCTCGCGAAAGTTTGATAACCATGTTTGATGAGAATAGGAAAAAGGTATGAGTTATAAATTATTTTTTTATTAAAAATAGATGAAAGTTTTTAAATAATGTTTTGATTTCTGTCGCTGCCAGTATCTACATTATGTAAGTAAATCAAAACACTTGATGTGAATTATTCACTGGATCATATAGTTATAGAAAATATTTTGATAGTCGTAGTCTATAATATTACATACATTTTCTCTTTTGCAACTATTTAATTTTCCATTTTTAATTTTATACAACAACTCAATTTTTTTCTGAACACTGTATTATAAAACAATCACCTTCTTTTATAAAAGACATTCACGTTTTATTAATTTTGTGAAGATATTTTATCAAGTATTCGGTAAAAGCTTTTTATTAAATATTGATTTGCTAATTATTAACTCATTAGTTACTTTAGTTGTTAGTTGTATTATATAACTTTTCAAAAAGCTATTATATTTTTTGTACACAGTCGGGTATATTATTCGTACAGGTATTAAAACATTTTTGTATAGTAATCAAAGCGTACTGTGTGCATGCAATATTCAGCTACTTAAAATGTTACCAGTGTTTTTTTTAATAAACTTAATTTTTCTATATAGTATGAATCTACCGAAAGGAAAAGAAGAGAGGAAAGAGAATTAAAAGAAAGATCTAGAATGTTGGAAAAAGAAAGTTCAAACCATAAGGGTCTTCGTAGAGAAATATGGTACCATCCAGATGGAAAACGAGTCAGACGTACTACCTCGACTGTAAGCGAAATGAAAAATGACGATGAAAGTGATTTGGATACCCTGGAGCAATTGAGCAGTTTAGAGGTGAGATTTGCAAATTTGAAAAATCTTTGACAATGATTTTATCGAAATTTAACTAAATCGCTGATAATTTTTATTACAGCTGAACAAACGTTTTGTAACTTCTTACTTACATGTCCATGGTAAACTGATAACAAGAGTTGGGTAAGTGTTAATACATTATTTATAAAAAATTAAGGGTTCAAATATTACATTTGATTTGAATCTTATGCATTTTACCATACAAAAATATTAAGCCAATTGCTATTGTACTAATTGAAAATATTACTGAATCGTATACTAAATCGTATACCCCACTATTATCAGTGTAAGACACACACGGAAATTTTTAATGTAGAAAATTGACGTAAAAAATGTAAAATCTATGCGAAATGAAAATTACTCATCAAGAGTAGTTTCCTCAAGATTATTTTTTACTAAATTGAAGATGTCTTCTACGGCGGTATTCATTAGAGGCTTGATGAGTTGAGTCGTTACGAAGGTACGGGCTACAATCATCAAGTGCCTTAATCGTCTTTCACATTGACTAGGATATTATAGAGAGCTCGTTTCATAGTCCTAATTAAAAAATGACAACGACTCTGACTTGCATAGATTTTCATGAAGTAAAAATTATTAACGGAGCAAATAAACCTCCTATTTTCCTAGTAAAATTTGAAATTATTCTCGTGCTATTCAATGCGTTTTTGTATTTTTAATGTACTGCATTTTTCGAGCTCGAAACATCTCAGAAAGTCTGAGTCTCGCAAAATTTTTCAACGGGCTAGTAGTATAGCTATTTGTACGCATCGCAGGCAGTTCAATGTTTACCCTTTGCTCATAAATTTTCCCTCCTGCTAAATGTAAGCGCATACATGCATGCGTATCTATGCGTATACACACGTACATACATTGTTAGTGCGTTGATCTCGAGGGCGGCAATCTACGTACGAGGGATCTTCGTACTTTCTAAATGATATATGAACGTTTACGTACGTAAATCGACTAAATTGATATTTTTGATTTCAACTTTTTTTTATAGCGTTACTTTTATTTTATGCGAGTTTACAATTGAATAGTTTGTCATTTTCTGGTGCATATTGTGTAGGAAGCCAAAATTAATATTTTATTTTCTCTCTTATTCGTCGAATGAATCAGCTCGTGATAGTTCAAGTGAAATGGATAATAGTAGAAATTATTGTTGTCTACTGTAAACATGACGAAAAAATTGTACGTCGAACGAGCTGAACATTCAAGTTTGCGCGGAGAGAGTCATCGTGTTAAAAATACGAATAGCTTAGAAAATATCAAGACCGTTAGATAAAGTAGCATTCCGCTCGCGAGCGTAGCTGCTCTCTCGTGCGTTTGTGACAAACGCGGAGGCAGCGAAGAGCAGTTTAGCTCGCTTGATAAATCGATGCCGCGCAGCAGCATAATACCTGACTAGGGTTCGCTTGTGTATGTGCGCGGCGAGAGACCGAGAGAGATGCATAAGGCAAGATAAGGATGGTATACGAGACAGCGAGGAGGAAAAGCGAGCAACATCTTCGTTAATTCGTTCTCGCTTTGCGCGAGCTGAAGCTTAATGCCATTATCTTATTATGATCGAGCGAGCTCGGGCGCGAGATATCAGACCTGCTGCAGTTCCAGCAAGACCATGAAAGCTGCGTAGCTAACCGAAACAACAACGACAATGTAAGACGACGATGACAACTTTGCCTAAACAAGTGTATACTAATATTTAATGTACAACGCAAGCTTGTACCAAGCAAAGCTGAGTAAACACGAGCATCGCCGCGATAGGATAAGCTAATATCGCGCAGCTCGAGCGCAAAGAGAAAGAAGAGAGAAAAGCGGTACTCGCACGCGGTATAGAAGGCTAGAAGCTCGGGTGTTTCAACTAATAGTCGGTTAATAGCTAACCTGTTTCCTCTTTCTCCACCACCTTCGTCTCTGGCACTCTTCTTTCTTCTCAAGCTCTCTCTCTCTCTCTCTCTTTTTCTCTCGTATGAAAAAGGTCGTTCCCACACGATTTTCTTGCAAGCGGCAACAGAGCCGACTCTGTCTGACATGTATTCAAAAGGGCTACCGATTCACTGACAAGATTGTAGAAGCGAAAAATTCTGCCTATGGCGCTAACTGCATCAATTTTCTCGTGCATCGACTTTGCTCGTGTTAATCATTCGTAACTCATACTTTAACAATCGCAACACTTTTATGTACAATTCTTACCTTTGTTCATTTCACGAAAATTCAGTACCATATAGGTAATGGTTTATTTATCAATATTGTGGATGAGTTCTCTACTATCTTTCTGCGATAGCAATTACGTTTTTTTACGTTTATTCAAAGTTCGTCTTTTTAAATACTTCTATGTTTCTATGATTGTAAATTATAATTTTATACGATGTGACATTGTGGATAAATAATTTACAACTCGACATGGACACTCAAAAATAATGTAATTGAAAAAAATCAAGCCTTGCGTAAAGTAATATATCACATATATTAAATTATACTACTATCATTCTTAATTTTAGCTGGCTCGTTTATGCGCAATAATTCTCAAGACACTCGTAAATTTTAATTGCTATTATATCTGTGCAACAAATTATTTTATTGGACATTACAGCTCGAATGTATAATTTGACGAAGTGCTCATAGTTTATATATCCGATGTCAGAGATGTGTTCAATGTATAGGAATGGTGGAAAAGCTCTTAATGCACGTAAATCTTTTTTTTTTATCTGAAAACAATAAAGCAAATTTAGAAGATGCTCAAGAATAAATTACGAAAAAAGCGAGCGAGCAATTTATTCTCTGTTGCGAGTAAATCTTGTATAGTTTTTCAGTAACTTCTCACAAGAAGTTAACACGTCTCTACAATGCATTAATGTACGCGCGAAGTTACACGTGCGGACAAGGAAAGCCTCGAGCAGCTCGGGGTGCAGTCGGCACAAAAAAACCTGGGAAACACACAATGACGTGTATATATACTCGTATTCATGTTTTTGAGATGTAAATTCTATGTAATATAATAATTTCTGTGTCGAATCAGTGTGAAGAATTCAAAGTCTCTCGGTATGTATGAATGTTGCTGCAATGTAGCTTTAACCGATCCTAAGTGTTAAATATACATCGCATTAAGTAGGAGGACATGCGGCTATTCGCGAGATCTCGATTTTGATTTACGTGTTTCCTCGCGCTCTCTGTTGCTATATAACGAGCCCGAAGCGCTTTACGTGTATATGTAGCCTCAGCGACAGGTTCGTAATCGCCTCTTGCCTGCAACAACAACAACAACAAACCGGCACGCAGACACGTCACAACTCGAAAATAAGAGCTATTTTTCGCATTTCCAATGAAATAGCTTCATGAATCGAGCTTGAGCCTTCGGGCGTGAATACACGAGCGCTCTTAATTGACTGCAGCATTTGAGAAGCTAGGAAATCGCGTATAGCTCTGTGATATTCGCAACTTGCGCACAAATTCCGATAATACGCGTAAGCCGAGTTGAGCGTGTAAATAGATATTACTAAACACCTGTAAGCCTCCTGATCTGCAGATATCTAGGTGCTCTGAATTCGTATTTTTGCTTCTAATGCTCCGCAATCGCGTCGGCTATTATCGCTGTTAATAGCCGCCGTCGCCCCCGCTGTCGGGTGGTTGGCTTTATAGTTGTTGCACGCCAAAGAAGAGTCGAGAAAAAAGGCAATTCGACGTCTGCCATACGTATAGCGGCTTGGCACGTAATACTCGCCCGTATGGTCATTTACCTGCGAGTGACGACGACCCGACCAGCTTCAAGGACGACACTCTTCGTTCCTTTGTATCTCAGGGTGGGGAGGATAGCTACGATTATTCGCTCCTCATACGAGATGTTTTCTCGTGTGGATGCTACTTGAAACTGCATTCGCTGTATTGCTTATACGGGTATGCTAACGTCAAAATTAGTATTCATTGTCAAAATGAAAATCGATCGTTGCAGTTAAGGACCAGCCGTGGGGGCTGCAGCTTACTGCTTTAGCGTCTTTTCGAACATTGCATTATTCATGGAAAAATCAACACTTTGATACAAAACTTTATAATTGTTATGTTGTTGAAAACTTCAGTATGTTTGAACTAAAAGTCGATTTGCGTGTTGTCCAATATGTATTCGAAATTCAAATTGGACTCCTGCAACGAATTAATTTTTAGTAACCTATTTATGCTATCGCAATATTTTGTCAATGTGATTGAACCATATTGTTTGACAATTTTAGCTTGAACATATAAATGTTTTCTAAACTCCACTTTTTATACTTTCTCTGTGTTATACATTCAAACAAAAATAAAGTTTTAGTTTCTTCATCTTATATTTATATTTGTTATTATATTTTTATCGAAAAGTTTTCGCGACAATAAGTTTTGTTTGCACTGCAATCTTCTGCTTCAAATTTCAATCGATTGACAATTCTGTTTCTGAAATGATGCTGCTGCTTGTCTCTTACATCTGCGCAAAAAGGGTACGTGATTTTATGCTACGTATATTCGCCTGCCGACGCAAATCAATCAGATGCTGCAGAAAAAAACAGATTTACTCGTAGATTTCATTTTGTTCTATGTATGTTATGCATGTATGTACGTTTACAGGAGCTCCTATCGAGAAGAAACTGCTGCAGCAGTAACAGAAATCTTACATATACACGTACGACCCTTTCTTCTTCTTCTTATTCTTTTTGCAGATGCTTCATCCACTTCTCGATACGCCAAGATAAATCTTCGATTCTTCTACTTTCCCGCATGAATTGTACTTCTTTAGCTGTTTGTCCACCCACCCTGAATGAATAAAAGCGTTTCCATATATGTACGTACACACATATCTTGTATGTTCGTTTTTATTGTGGTCATGTGCTAAAAGTTTCTTCTTGCGGAAGAAAGTGACTAAAATAAAAAAATCGGATAGGAAAGAGAAGAAAAAAAACTTTTATCGACGATCGGACGATTGCAAGTGGCGGCTGCGCTCTTTTCTTTTACTTATATTTATTTATTATTTTCTTTCAATCTGAAACTCTCGTTCGTACGGAGTCTTATATTATTCTTTTATTCGCTTATTTTCTTATCTAAGGTAGCGATCAAACAATGTATAGCACTTAATGTGCAACACGATCTTTATGACTTTGAGTTTGATATAGTAGTGGAAAACGATCAAATCGAATTTCTATTATTTGTACAAAATTAGTATAATTAAAAATGAGAAATATTCAATTTTTATTGAGTCAAACTTGAAACCAAAACAGTCGAATATCAAATTGTTGCATTGCATCATGTGTGCGATACAAAATAAAGGAATAATCTATTTCAAAATATGTTGTTCTTGCAACTCATCCTTCATATTTTTTTATAAATTTATTGAAAATTCATAAATAATTAATAAAAGTTCAATAAAATCAAAAATAATTGAGCAACATTACTTGTTATCTTTTCTAAGCCGATTAATGATGAGTAATAATAGCAAAGCTCAAAGTCAATAGCAATTAATCTATATTTCATAGATATAAGCTATTTAAGGCTTCTCTCAGATATAATCGCATTAATACATACGCATTCGATAAAATATCCTCTGCCATAAATATTAGCAGACGAGGCACAGTTTACTGAGGAGAGCGAAGGGGCAAGGAGAGAAAAGACTAGGCTAGTTGCGAGCTTATGAAGGCTCATCGAAACATTTGTTTGTTCTTGTAAACGCTATAATCCGTTTAGCGAGCATTAAGCAATCGTGATCGAGCGCCAGCGTAAAAGGAAAAACGTGTAACATTTGAATTTCACGGATTAATATAATTTTATATCGATAGTAAAAAGAGGGAGCGAGGCAGTGCTCGTATAATATGCAAGCTCCGTAGTCAGCAGACGAAACTGCCCAAGTGCACTGCTTTTAGTTCAATTTATTAACGTAGAATTTTAAAAATACCTTGTTAGGATTGAATTCCTTCGACGGTTCGATATGATGACTACTGCATGCAGCCTAATATCTTCAAGTTTGAACGTAGTCCTTTCGATGCATTTATTAGTAAGTCTCACGGCCTATTATGAGATTCACTTTGACATTATGCTCAGATCCTTTTATACATAAAGAGAATAATACAAATATTAGTATTGTGTTGTTTTTTTGAAATAAGTTTGTTTTGATTGGTCGTTGGATTTGGGAAGATGACGCTCAATGCGTTGAGCGTGAATTTTTAAATTTCTGATAAGGTGATCGAGTGCAGGTAAGATTTGTACGCGTGCAGCGCACTGAAAAGTCCTGGTATTATTTGAAGCCTATGCATAATTATATCATTTGAAGAGTATAGGTGGTAATTGTTCGTAATATTACATCGATTAATCAGGCGCAGATGACCGAGGTTCGTATCTGTGTCATACTTGCAACTTACAGCACTCGAAGAAATGGAAAGTGCAAGCGATCCCTGAAAGAAAGTCCGTCGCGTGTTATTTTGTGAGTCGCTGCAAGCATCATTCGCTGTGACCTTCTTCCCAGCGTGAGAAGTTATAAATTGCCTCGGGCTATTTCTTATTATTTCGCGTCACATCACTCAAAAATGATGGTCCACAGGTGTGAAACTAAAAATCGCAATAACTAGGGCTCGCGTAACCTTTGCTTTTTGCTTTCGTTACTCACACGTAACAGCTGTAAAAAGCACACAAAAGTACGAGCATAATGAGTTTCAGCTGACCCTGCAATGATGCAAAGCCAAAGTCTGCAGAGGTCTCGCAGTAAAAATGAGTTGACGGGAGAGAGAATATAGAATCCAACAGAGAGGATGGACCCAAAAGATAAGGCGGCGTTAAAGAGGGTCAGTATAGACTCGCACACAATCGCTATTACCTTGCCCACGCGCGTATATAATACGCCTGATTGTGGTGGCTTAGACGCTTGCTCTTTGCGGGCATTCAGTACATGTGCGTTCGAGAGTCTGTGTAAGTGTGATACAGACAGCTATGCGAAGGAACTATGATCCATTAGTCGCGATCGGCCGGGTCCGTTATATGCAACAGAGCTCATAAAGTGCAAACTCGTTAGTCATATGCTTTTGTATCCTATATAAGTATCACTTGTGCTTCGCCCCATTCGATTGGCTTAGTTACTCGTTTGTATGTGTGAACCAGACGAGTTCACGGGTCAACGTATGCAATACTTTGGGCTCTTTACACATACGTATAAATTCACAGTCCTTTCTTACTCTCAAGAAAACATTTATAAATTACCCTTCCGCAATTTACCATCGAGGTGATTCTCGTGGCAATGACTCGAGTTTTCTTTGATCTCAAAAATTGTAAGTGGAATACATCATTGTTCTTTCTTATTATGCACCATACTGTAACCATCTTAGTGTTCTTGAATGTCTACTCAATAATATTCTACTACATAATGTGATACGCGCCTGATGTGCACATACGATCGAGTCTTATCGTTATGTTTACAGTTGCTTGAAATGATTAAAACGTTACAGATAAGCAATTTTACAAAAAATGCAAATAGCTATGATAAAAAATTGAAAAAAACTGTTATACCTCGCGTCTACCAATCATTAGAAACCTTTTTTCCTTTTTTTGTTATCGAAATCTGTATTTCTCTGTGAAAATGCTATATGCAATATTGAATTATTTATATGACCGATAATCATTCGTCTTTTCTGCACTAGGCTTTGAAATATAAGATTTTGGGGTAAAAAAAGCACGCGTACGAGTTGCACATAGCTTGAATGATAAACTAGGAGCATAGAGCTCATATCAGTGCAGAGTATTGTGTTACTCGTATACAAAGATATAAGAGTCCATCATTCGTGGCTGCGAGCTCATGCGAGCGCGAGAAGTGGGTCTCGGGGCTTCAAATTATAATGATCATCAGGCGCGCATATTGTCCCAAGTAACTCGCGCGCGAGCAATAATATCTCCGCGTGGCGTATAATAGTTCGACCTTTATGCCGTGACTTCTTCTCTGCGCGCATCTCGATGCCGTTATGCCCTAAAGTGCAATTCAAGAATCTTTCGTGGTTATTACGAGACTGCGCCCGTTTCGAGTGTCCTCGTGGCCAATGAGCAATTATGTACATGCATACCTACACCTCGCTGAAGTAGCTCCCTCACCTTCTACTTTGTTTTTCTTTCTGGTTAGCGTTGAGCATTTCAATTTCAAATTTTAACAGAAATAAAAGACTTTTTATGCAAGATAAAGAGAAGAGGGTAACGTTATCTTACATCATATCAGAAATAAATTGAATCCTCAATTGGAAAAAAAGCAAACTTAGCAAACTTTTTATCTTTTCGGAGAGAGAATTGAAAACGCTGTTTTTAAAATCTTTCATGAACAAAAATGAGGTGTGTGGAACATAATATTCAAAGCTATCCAGTGAGCTTATTCTTTTTCTATCTGGAATTCTTTCATATCTCGTCGTGCTAATAATGAAAATAAGGAAGCGCGTGCGTAGCGAGTGATGACTTGGCTGTTATTTCATTAGCCATAGTATCCTGGGAAAGATGCGAACGAGAGTTGTTACACGATGATCATACTAGTATTTTTAAGTGTGTAATTTTGCTCACACGAATGAATAGATGCATGGAAAAATGAAAACCTTTTCGTACATTCTCTGAGTAAATTGCTGATGTTATTTAAATTAACTATCATTCATTAATTGAGATATGATTAATTGAATTTTTCACTTGATTACTTTGATCAGTAAATAATTTTATTTTCTATAATGAGCCTATTTAAATATATGTAGAAGGTGTCAACATATTACTAGAGTATGAACTCCTTAAATTTGTGAAAAAACAATTTAAATGCTATAATCAATATCCCACAATCAATAATCCATTTTAAAATTCAGAAAGTTGAATGAGTGTTAACTTACAATTTAGAAGCTCCTGAATGTATTACTAGTATATGCAATGTTTTACTGTATATATTGAGTATACATGTGTCTATTTATTCAGTTTTCATCAAAGTAAATTAATAAGTCCACAAAGAATATTTGCTCAGACACTAAACCCTCGAATATTTATCTTTATAACATTAATTGTGTATGATTATACGATTTATTCCAGTGGATTAATTTATCGATAATAAAGAAAATTCCAACGATTACTTTGCTTTTTAACATAGTTCTTATCGTTTTAGTCATCATTTATGTTGCATTTATGCATAAGCCACTAAGCTACTAAGCTTAAGCTACTAAAACTACATTTCACATCATTGATCATTCTTAATCAATCACGTATGTAATGTTTGTTTCTATTTGATTTATGAATTTTTTATTTTTTGGAAAGGGTAACAGTAGTAAAAAATAAGGAAACATTGTTTCTCATTTGTCGGTACGCTCTGATATGCTCTATAAACGTGAATAAACGACGGTCAGATTTGAGCTACTTGCCTGATTGTTTCTCATCAGATCTGTCCACGCGTATTTTCCTTTCACTTTCGTCGGAATATGTACGGCAACGGACCAAGCTGTAGAAGTTGTTCAAAATTTTGGTACTTAATATCAGGGGGCGTAGCTCAGATGGTAGAGCGCTCGCTTAGCATGCGAGAGGTACCGGGATCGATACCCGGCGCCTCCAAATCTTTTGCTACTGTAAATCAAAGTTCTCGCTTTTGACAAGTTTTATTTATACGATATCTCTCTCGAATCTCGAATCCCTCAATAATTTAAGTTTTAAACTAAACTTTTAAAGGTTATTTGTTCTTATAATAAATACAGACAAGCCGCAGTACTGCCAAGCATCATTTAATATTCATACACTACTTTATAAATTATATTGGCTATGAACAAAAATGAAATTTTATTTCAGTTTGTACACTATAAATATACATTTAGTCCGATTTTTTAAATTTTACTTTGAGATTTTGAGAAAATATTGAATTTTAAATAAACAACGTAAATGTATTATTTGTTTCAGTTTGGAGACATTTCAAGAAGCTGCTATTCAGATGTTACGAGAGTTTCGCTCTCTACTTCACCATGTTCCTCTGCCTTTACCAATTTCACGACTTTTGCAACTATTAGCCCTGAATATGTTCGCTATCGACTCAACTCAACTTAAAGGTAAGATAGTAAACTTTGTTTTAAAAAAACCTGAAATTATCACTATTTTGCCTACAGAAATAGTTCTGTAAAATGCATCAAACGTGAAAGCGATTGTTATCCCAAGTTTTGTTAAAAAATATATTCACATAAGTAACGTACAGTATTTTATAGTGCCAGCATCCAAACATTTCAAATGAAAATTAATGTTTTACCACTGATTTAATTTTTGAGTTAATAGTACAAAACACTTATGAAAATTCAATCATAATTAAAAACCAACCTCTACCACTAGATGGCGAGTACCTTTATCTGAAAACCTGCAAGTGGCAAAGTACAAAATTTGTATAAGTCAAAGTTTGGCCTCGAAAAAATTTCATGTTCTTTGAGATTATTTTTTTTTGTGTCAGTTGTGAAACTTTTTTTGAATCTTAAAGCTCGATTTATAAATATACTTCTTAAAATTTTAACGCATTCTGATATTCTCGAGATAATGAAACGGATTCAAAAAATTATCAAGTCTAAGTCTACGATCACAATCAGTAAACTGTTGCATTAAAAAAATGCACTACTGATATAAAAAGCATCCTCGCAAGCAATTTGTATAAGTGCACTAGGCATTTAAAGTTGGGCTCAAATGAAATTTTATCATGCCACATGCCAATTAGCTAAGTCGCGCACTGAATGCAGCGGCGACAACTGTAGAGGAAGATTCTCCATAGCAGGATAGGCGCCTACGATGCTCATTGATTTATGCTTGGAACGTGTATGTGTTCGCAACCGTGCCAAGATAGTCGGTACTGATAGCGTCCCAACCCTTGATTATCACTCTCTTATCTAAAGATGTAACGTTTCCGTTGTCTGTAAGCATGCATCTTAGCATAGGTAAGATGAAAAAAGTTTTCGCTCACTTATTGTGTTGATTTCTTTTTCTCTATAAAAGTTTTTGCGCACTTAACTTTTCTCACGTTGAGCTTAAGTGCGTTAATGTCACTCATAAAAAAAATAGTTTCAGAATGTTTTTTAAGGTATTTTTATTATTAATTATAACTGTTCAACTTTTTGCTTTCAATGGTAAAAATTTATTTTGTAAAATCACAAAAATACGTTACCTACGGTGCTTTTTTGGTATCGATAAAGTTATGGAATTGAATCTAAACCTTCAAAATAAGTACACATAATCTGTGAATTTTGACTGTAAAAAACCCAATTAAAAGGAACACTTTCTATTTTACCAAAGTGTTTACTTGTACTTACAACATACTTTTCAAAGTCTTATTGAGTTTTAGATGATTCAATTATTTTAACTTTTTTATTATCAATAATTACTAAGAATTTAAAAACATTTTAAAAGTACTTATTATTTTCTATAAATTGCCCGCAAAGTCAGCTATTTACAATTCACGTAATGAAGCTTAGTGCTATAAATATCTGACTGTGTTATTTTTAACATCACGCAAGTATGCTTTTTGTATTAGTGCAAGATGTCATCGCTCCGTGAGAAACGAGTTTTTCCTGTCTCTCCCCTCTTACTTAATTCATTCAATCTTTACGCGCTTTGTGCATATTTCTGTAAACGAAATTTTCATTATGCATAATCTATTGCATTCTTCGTGATATTGCTCTAAGTACATTTATCTGCATTTGAAAAGTTCATATTTCGTGACGAAGTTGCATTTCTATTTATATGCACGTAACGTTTTCATTACTTCTCATTACCCCATTTAAAATGTAATATTCTATTAAATTATTGGAAATAAATGTTTGCATTTTGAATCTTTGTGCGTCTTTCATACGTGCACATCGAATTATTGATAGTAATATCTCGATATAGATTTTGTATCAAACTGTTATTGCACACATCGTTTATGGTACAGGTATATCATCATTTTTTCAAATTCATTTTGAATTGAATTCGACCTTCATTTTTTTGCATGGTTTTACAACACATCAATGTTTTCGCATAATTGGTGTAATAATGCGTTACATGATAGGTATTCGATCTGTTTTATAAATCATTCTTGTGCATTGGTGGTGGCTTTGGCAAGGACGTCAGGTGAATGAACCTGATCGTATCAATATAGCTCGAGCAAAATCCTTTTTTTAATGATGATTTTATTTTATATATTAGAAAAAGAAAAGATTATTATCCAAGAAATTTTTAAATATAATACAATGGCTATAGGACTCATTTAAAAAATAATTTATTTAAGTTTTTATAATACAAAGTGTGCTTAAGTCTCATTGAAGAAACGATTTTTTTGGTAAAATTAAAAAAAATTGGAATCATATTATTCAATAAATTATCGATTTTAATGATTCTAATTAATAAAGATGAATGTTTGTAATATTTTTCTAACAGTGAGATTATACAGCCCTAACCATCAACATTCATATCTCATGAAATGTATTTTTTTTCATTTTGTTAACAGATTTCCTTTTTTTAATTTGAATGTGATTTATATTCATATTTGCTCATATAAATTTTGAGCTTATTTAATAAGTAAGAAAAATCGCGTCAAATCTCGCACTCTATTACACAATAATTTTAGCTGAGCTACGATCGAAGCCGCATCGAGTGTTGACTGCTACGGACTGCAAAAATGCTGCATTTTACGTATATTTTTATGTGGCAAAAAGTGCTGATGCTGGCATGACGCGTTCTCTTTCTGCAGCGTGTACTTTGCTGCCATCCGTGAAATTTCCTCGCTCTGGAAGCTAATGATTACTACGCGAGGGCTCGAGTATAGTCGTCTACGTTTACGCCCTTTTCTCTCGGGCAGTCTTCGGGCCGAGGTGAATAAAAAATTACTCGCACTTCTGAGGCTTTTTGCGCAGCTGCTCATCGTTCGCGTGCACCACCGAGTCTCCAACGCTTCAGCTTTTCTATTTATCAGAGCAGCTCGCGCGCGTTTCACATGTGAATGACGGGTTGCAGTCGCATAGCGATGCCGAGAGTCTCTCTCTCTCTCTATAAGTGAGAGGCTGCTAATGCGCCGCTATGGTGCGCCGCTACTGCCACTATGCAGCTCTCTATATATACACGTACTGTCGTCCGTTCGGAGCAAAACAGAATCATGGATAGGATGGGAATCATGTCGGCGACCTCGACAAGGCCTCCTCAAGGTCGTACATTGAGCCTGACTTTGCTACTCTCGCTGCGTGCTGCGCTGCGCTGCTTGCCGCCTGCCTCGTATAATACCTATATACCGATGCAAGCTGTGGTGTTGCTACGTGTACCTTCGCAGTCCCAGCTTTAAGTACCCTATTTTACCATTTTTTTTCAATCTTCTTCTCCTTTCTTCCGCCGTTTAGCCATTATAAATCTATATTGTAAAGGTAATCTGAAAAAAGTACGATTAGTTTATTTTTTCTTTTATAAATTTTTATTTAACATATTTTTACTTCAACAAAAATTGAAATGGAGCCAAAAACAAAAAGCACCTCTAGATTTTCAACTTGTACTGACACTATCGTATTAGGTTTACAGAAACCAGTTCATGAATTTTATGGTTTTTAAAGCTTAAATTTATCGACATATCAAGCTTATTATCGTTTTGTTTGTAACTCAATAAATATTTTTTAAGACAGCTGTATTAAAAATTACATAAATTTTCTGATTCACAGAATTAAAAATTTTAACATTACATTAGAATTGAGATTGTGCACTCAGAAATGTATAAAAAATGTTGCACCTTTTAATCTGCAAAAAAATAAAAATTTAGTAATTACATTTGTGATTGTGCAGAATCAATAAAATAAAAATAAATTACGAGAGGACGCAGAAGAATTAACAACTTTCCATCTCATTGATATTACAAAAGCGTAAGCTAGTATGAAAAACATTATAAATCCTTATTGTATGAACCCGTTTACCGTCGACTTGAAAGCCCTTCATGAAACCAGTAAATGGCGCCTAGACATACCTTCTTCTAATTCTTTTTAATTCTCAAAATAAAATAAACGATTATTATTGTTTTGATCACGGCATTAATCCTTTCAAAGGTACAATTATTCTTAACGGAAAGTGAGATTTCGATTGAGGTAATTGCATAAAGAGCAAGTTTCAAGTCGTTGCCAGCTTCTTAGTTATTAAGAGGGTATGAACGTTTGACTTATTGAAATTTTATCGGGTAAGCAGAGCGATTCTTGGCATACATCAACACACATGCACACAATATACATGCACACACGTGTTCGCGCAAGGCTGTAAAATTTTACGATTAAATTGACTTGATAGCATAATTGAGCGACATTTTATTTGTCCGCTCAAACATGTTTTTTACCACAATAATTTTTGCGTACTGTTTATGGCTTACACACCAGACATGCAAGTTGTTCAAATCGATTTGCTTTGGAAAGATGATTCTATACCATCGTTTACTTTTTTCTCTTCTGACTATTATTTCAATTTTTATCTGGTCTTTACTTGCATTGTATAGTTTGATAGCAATATACTACAACTATACAATTTTCTCAGTTCTTGCTTAAGATAAGACTTTGAAAATATAACCTGCTGTGCTATGTGATTTTCTTAATTGGACAAAAACAAGGCCGACAAGACTATCGACTGTCAATTGAAAAGATGTACTTTTTATAAATTTGTCCAGTAGCTGCAGGCTAAGTATGTAGAAGCACTTCGCTTGTAGATATGTTCAATATCAATAATGGCCTAATTATTAAAAAAACATTTTGAATGTTTTCAAATATTTAAACATTCATTGGTTTGTTTCTGGCTATTTGTTAAAATTAAGTTACAAATAACAAATGAATGTAAAATGCCCTAAAAATGACAGTTTATTTGATTTTAAATTGTTAATTACTTTATAACCACTAGAGGGCGAGTACCTTTATCTTCATATCTGCAAGTGGCAAAGTCAAAATAATTGTATAAGTTACATCACTTTTTCGAAGGTTTTACTGCAAGTACCCTGTGGCTTCGGAATATCATCTTAAATATGCTCCCTACTCCGAGCATTAATACACTTTTCAAACTTAAGTACATAAACGGCAGAGACGTATTTATGAGCGTAGTGATTTCGATTCTTACGTTCGGCAACTAAGTAAAATGAATAAGAGATTGAAGACGTCGAAGCAAGTATAAATCGTAATGCTTTTAGAATGTACAGCGAGGGGGTAGGTTCGGCGTGTATACAACGACGAGCAATAAAGTGCTCTCGCTCGCATAGGAGTTATTGAAACCTTCTTGGCACGCTCCTCTTAGAACATCTATTCTGCGCACAACGGAGAGAGAGAGAGAGAGAGAGAGAGAGAAACAGATTATGCGAACGTGGAGGCACAACTGACAACCGGCAATGCCCCGCGTGTGTGCAGTAGCGAACCTCTATACAGCACGATGCAGCCGCGCGGCGGTGGAGGATACATGCAAGTGCACAAGAGATATAATTGTCGTTGTTCGATGGCTCGGCAAACAAGAGAAACGTTCGTACACTACGTCTCGAGCTCGCGCGCTTGTATATTCCAGCCTATTATGGGCGCGTAGGCGGCTTCCATCATTTACCGAGTGGGTGGAATTTTCGAACGAACCCATTCCGATGGTATTAATATCAGTCGCCGAGGCAAAGGCGGAACTTGAGCGATCCTTCACTTGTGCGTTCGCCTGTATACTCAGACACACACACATGCTCTGTGTAATCCTAATGCTTTTCCGACAGTTTCTTGCTGTTTCGCGTACATGCATATACGACCTCGTGCGCTTTCCATCGGTATGCGTGCATTCTTATCAGTTTCCATGGCAGGTATTTTTATGCCATTTTTTCATGACTTATATCGTCTCAAAAATTTTAATACAAAGCCCGACCTTTTGTTTGTTTTTTTCAGTACTCGATCAATTTATAACATTTTAATAAATAAATTTTCGCCTAGAATTTTAGAAAAATGATTCATCTAGGATAAGAAATTAGATTCTAAGTCCTTTTATTATAAAGCTGATGTTTTTACTTTCATTCAAAAGTAAATAATTGCATTTAAAAGAAATATGAATGAGTCATGAAATTTTCTTTAATTTTTTTTCAAAGAGATATGTAGTATTTTTAAGTTATTTCGCGATGTTAATCTAGCCAAAGAGAAACAAAAGGCAGAGAAAAGAAAAGAGGAGAGAAAAGAAAACAGCGCGGCTATACGCGAGTTGACTGATCTAGAGGAAAAGGTCGTAGGGTGGAATCCACAGTCGAGCTGTACGTCTTTTTTAGATTTAAGAGCAGCTCGGACTATCCGTAAGTCTCCGGGGATCCCTATATAAGACGTGGAGGCAATCCTCCGCATGTTTGCAACTATGAATATCTTTTAATGTAGAATTCGAGGATGAAAGGTACCGCGTGCGATGTCGCCCTCATAAAGTACTTGGAAGCTGATTTTCTTCCTCGTGCTTCTGCAGCCGTAGCAGCGACAACTATGCGACTCTATCCTCTCTTTCTCTCGGATACTTACAGTTCAGAGGCATGGCCATTTTCAATTGTACGCGCTGTCGCGCCTTAATCGTTGAAGAAAGAAATAAAAGCTGCATATCGAGACGAACGGGATAGACGTATGTATAACTAGCAGCAGTTGCAGCAGAAACAGCAGTCTCGAGTCACGGACAAAAAAGCACATAAGAAATTGTACACAGCAGGATAAGACAAAAAAATAAAAAAAAAAATAAGAGAGGAAAGCAGTAGAATGATATAAAACAGGTAAACAAGATGGATGGATGAAATATGATAATAGAGAATGAAAATCGGACAAATGTGAACAGTGCAACAGAAACAGAGGGCGTGGGAATGGAAGCAGAAAGATGCGTATTTATTTCAATACAATCGTCTGCCATCTATTTCTATGTACATTACATATGATGTACATGATGGTTGGTTCTTTGTCAACTCGAAGATACCACAACATTATTTTTAACTGACATGAAGCTTTCAGAAAAAACTCCTAATAGATTTAATTACTCATATCTCCTTACATGTAAATAAGTATAATATTCATAAACACATCAAATTTGATCTGTCATTTTTCTTCTAAATATTTTTCTAAAATTATGAGTTTTCAACAATGAAAAATCATAAATACTAAGGAGGTTTCCTCGCAAAGTATTCCGAATAATTATCCCCTTAGTTCAATGGTAATTTCCTTGATAACTAATAACAATTTTATAACACTTCATTACTTATTTTTCACTTACATATGATTTACTTGTGATTTATTAATATATAAATTACTTTTATGCTTTTACAGATACAGAAATAGAAAAAAGTTATCGATCTGAAGTACAAGAACGTGCTCTGATTATGTCCTTACAAATGTTCAGTCTCATATTGGAGCGGGGTATTAATTTGGTCAAAGCGCAATTTGAATCAAAGGAACGTCCAAGACTCATAGTTACAGACGATATGCAAATTTTGCTAGCTGCGATCAAAGTATGTATAATTTTATGAATTTTTTAAAATGAATTAAGTATTTTCATTGTCGGAGGAGAAAAATTTGATAAAATCACAAATTTGATGGATCGAAATCCGAGTGTTTGGCAAACAACTTTTCAATTTCACTTCAATTCCCAATATAAAATTGATAGACTGACTAAATTCTCATATTATAATCGATTAACTTTACATTTATTTTTGATGCAGGTTTGGTGTGATTGGTTGTTGTGTCACAGTTCAGTATGGAATCCACCCCCTTCGTGTTCAGATTATCGAGTTGGGTAAGTAAATTTATTTCAATCAACAATTTTAATATAGTATAGTTTTTGACACCTAGTAGAGTCATCAGTTTGATAATACAAACGAAAGGTTTCAAAGGTGTTCGAAAATTCTTTCGGTTGCTATAAGCGTGAGTTCTCGGCAAGCTAATCGCGCACTTATAATGGCATTTTATAGCTCTCGCGCGCGCGCATTAAATGCCCAACAATGCTCAACGCCTTCCGCGAACCGTTGCAACGCGAATGTACTCACTGGCGAAAAGTAGCAAGCATAACACTTAGTCCTATTGAACTTGTACGAGCGTGGCACATGCTTTTTCATTGAAAACCAGTTCTCTCTCTCTCTCTCTCTCTCTCTCTCGCGAGCGTGCTCGATTCGATGCACCACCGTGGATGAATTTCGAAGAGAGGGAGCGAATCAATATAATGAACTGTACAAGAGGATGGCCAACGATTCGTTGCTCGTCGGCGTCGTTGTCGTTCGAAACCTCGGTTAAGACGGTACGAGAGCATTGCAACGGAAGAAACAACCATCGGCGTACAGTCACCAGCTAGTCTTCTCTCGTCCAAGCAGTTGCTTCTTCTAAGCGACTTGATAGTGCCTTTTTGCATTCCGCACACGCTTGAACACGACAGATTATTAACTCTCTGCGCCTGGAGAGAGATAGAGAGCCTCTGGCACACTACATAGGTAGTGTACTGCGGAGTGTACCCCTCTTCTCTACATTGACTTGGCTCCGTCTCTCTTTTTCTATCTCGTGTTTACTACCGACGTTTTATTGGTCTTGTATCGTCAAGTACGGGGCGCACGCGATAGAGGGCTTTTACATGCAGTAGGCGCATTTTTATACCCCCTTGTGCGGACTGCATCAGTGGCAAATCAAACGAACGGATAATGCATCGATACTTTCAGTTTTTCACGTGAGAGGTAAAATCAACGGACTTTTGCAATGAACGAAAATTAATGAGAATAATGATGGTATTGATATTAAATAAAGGGAATATTGCCTACTAAATATTTAAACGAGCTTGAACAACTTTTACGGATATTTAAATGCAAATTAAAAAAGAAATTAGAAATTATTAGCTTTCCAAGTAGACTGGGAAAATATAAAGACCTTAATAAAAACGTGTTCACAAGTATGGTTATTTTTATCGTTGTCATTGAGGTTTCTTTGAATTCATGTTTAAGAGCTTGTTCACTTAACGTCAAAGACTGAAAGATAATATGTGTAATAACTTATTGAATTGTCCATCACCTTATAATAACATGTTTTAATAACAAAAAAATAGTCTAAAGCTAACTAAACGAGTTTTAAAACGTACAGACGACGTTATTATTTTCATTGAGCAGAAAACCTCATATTTTTTCGAGATAATTACGTATAGTAGCGATTTTTTAAATAAATTTGAACATTTTGAAATAAATGAAGATTTTTTAATGACATATAAGAAAGCCAAATTTACTCAAAGGTTGAAATGTGTTAAAGAAATATCAAAATAGTATATTACTGCCCTAGGCCGCGAAAAACAGAAAAGTCCCAGGGCACGTGTAATTAGTGGCCGAGGCGAAGCCGAGGCCGATAAACACGTGCCCTGGGGCTTTCTTTTTTCGCGGCTTAGGCCTGTATACTATTTTTCATACCTCGTGGCCCGAAAATAGCTCTTCCCGTTTTGCGCAGCGGCCGGGAAGTAGTCACTTTCGGGCCGCTGGTATGAAAAAAATGTATCATCATTGTTTGAGATAAAATTATGGAATAAGCATAATCACTATAGGAGAATCTTATCTTCAGCCAGTTAAAATGTCAGCAAGTAACATTTATAAGCAAATTGCTTGATAAATATGACAAAGAGAAGATTCTTTGCAAAGGAGAACGGGCCGTTACTTGCTCATCTCGACACCCAGAAATAAAAATTACCCTCGCAGTTCGTGTTTTGCCGAAGCGAAAGCGATTAAAGTAAGCTGTATACGTGCGCGGCAGCAGCAGCAGCAGCTCGAAATTGCCGCAGGTTGCGAAGAGGTTAAAGAAAATCAATAGAATAGGCAGGTTGCAAGGTGGCTGAATGATGGAAAATCAAATCTTTTCATGCATGCAAACGAGTTAAGCCTATACTCGAGAGCATCATCTCAATGATGAAATTTATATATTTGTTATAGTTTAACGACTTCCGTCATGTGCATGTCCTTATCTATACACGTCGATTGTACGGGCAAGCGCGTCGTTCTATTTGCTGAGCAAAGACCCCAAACGCTGCATTGAATGATTGTATCGCTGCCACTTTGAGCAAGTAATTAAGACTATTGCTTGCCACTTATTTTATTCTACGATGTCTAAAGGCATTTATGTTTCGCGCAGTCATCTCGCATAACTGGACAATCCAAGCACAATTTGTAGCAAGTCCCCCGTGTGAAAGTAAACGTACGTGCAGGTTCAAAAAGCAAGTCTATAATGCAAGTGCCATCGCGCGCGCGTACTTATTTTACTTGTCCTGTGACATTTCCATTCTCGGACGCTCGTTCGCACGATTCTTCGTCGCTCATGACCAGGTCAAAGACCAGTGTTCCACAAAACTCTACTCGGTAGGCTAGTCTTTATAGCCTCGCGTCCTTTGCCCGCGACCTCTTTGTCGACAAGTCAGTGTGGCGTTAGCTTCAATTGCGGCTCCTATTTATTAATTTTTCTCTCGTGCTTCATGGATCTGAGAAATTCACTGAGATCGGTATGGGGATATACATTGTTGAAGACAGGCTTTTAACTAATATTGATAGAATAGATTCTTGATTGATATATTTTGTTCACCAGTAAAAACACTAAGCATCACTGATTTAACATCATGTTTGCAGGCCTCCAGGAGAAGCATGGAGCCGTTTAGCGATGTTGGTCAATCTCTTTGAAAAATTGGACTATCCAAAGAATATAGTAATAGAAGCACCTGATGCTGAGAACCGTCTTGATGGTAAGTCAAGTTACTTTTTTGTTCTTTTATGATAGGTGTAAAATACGATCACTGTAATAATGTTACCAAATTTCATCAGTTTTATCCTATTATTTCATACATTTTAAAGAAAATACATATCAGACTTATGAATGTATGACAAATTTATTTTTTCGAAAAATATAAAATTCCTAGTTATCATTATTGAATAATTTCATTTATCTGTTTCTCTTTTCGTTGTTGAATATTGAAAAATGTTTTTGTAAATCAATACCGTTGTTGGTAATAAATGAAATGTAACTAAATTTATTTCTAATTAAAATAACTAATTGACATTTCACATTTTCATTATAGAAAATTAAAAATAAAGTGTACGTTTTTTTTCTTTGCTTATATAAATCAATTTTCATATAAAATACTTCAAATGAATATTATTTAAACTAAATTTAATTCAAGGCACATTAATTTAATTGTAAATATTTTTAACTGTGTACTTTTATAAATTTTAAAACGATCGATTCTGAATATTCATGAAGAATTTTCATACATTCTGGTAAGGGTTTTGACAAATGTTTTCTCTAAAAAAATCGAATAAATCTTATGGCCTGTTGAATTTCCAATTAAATAATACATTGTTCCATAATGTCTGTTGAGTGAAAAATTTCACTTGCACAGTGATGAGAAAAGAAGTACGACGATGCTATTATTTAGATCTACTAGACGTTTAAGACGCGCTCCGCGCGTATCAATTTTTTTATTTGTGTTTTGAGGTTAGCAACTTTCAGGCGCGGTTCGCGCGCGTACATCTTTCAGTCAGTTTCGAAAAAGTTGCTATTATGACCGTAGATGTCACTTTATTACGTTTCGACTCGAGTCAAAAGTCAGTCGACCAATCAGAGGCCGAATAGATTGGCTTCACTTTTAGGTCCATCTCTTTTTTATAAGTTAGAAAAAATAAGCGGTTTATCTATTTTTTACCCTATTCTTAATCTTGTCCGCTTGAATTCTCTTTACGAGTTAATAGTTCATATCCACTGCGCCTGAAAAAGTTTCACTTAAAAAATATTTGCAAGAGCATAGTATATGTGTATATTTTCCTTGCAAGATGATCGGCCATTGTAAAAAATACAGATGGTTGCAGCAATCACATGCATAGTAACCAATGAAAGATTGAGCGATAATCGATCATACCGATCTAGAAAGTGCGTTGACTCCTGCTATATACAGCAGCGTTATAGCCAGAGAATAATCGTGAGATTCACCATGTAGATCGGAAGTTTAAAAATTCTATTTTAATCATTTGTGGTATTTTCTCCGCAATATTAACAGCTATACCCAAGGGAAAAGACTTTTTGTCTTTACGTAGTGCTAAGTTATTGACTATTGTACCGTTCAAAGCTGTAATAATATGTATGTTATTAAATGAATGAGATTTTGACGAGAAATAAATTGGCGAGTTCAAAGTCCTTTCCGATGATTTTCATTAGTTGTATAACTTACCGTCTTCTTTCGTAGCAATAATTCCTTATATTGAATTTGCAAAAACTACCCTAAGAATAAATGACCTAATTTTCACATTAAGTCTCAATTAAAACTTGTCTCAAGTATCATAAAAATGTAGAATTATATTTTGATGCGGCGCGCAACACTTAGCACACTTTCATATGGAAGTTCGCAAGGGTAAGAAAGCGCATTGCTAACCCAAATAATCGATCATCCGTTAATGATCAAGTTGTTAATGGTATAGTCATCTTAGCTGCTCTTTCCGCTGAGTCGTTTTATTCACAGCGACTTAATCGAGCATGAAATGCCTGCTTGTTTATATCTTTTCTTTCAATTACACGATAATTTTTTAGCAGCTGTGATGCACTTAAATTTGCAAAACAAAATTGTTTTCAAGTTCAATCTTTTGTACCAGTGATGGAAAATGTTCACTTCGACGACCAATTCGACTTCGTCAATTGTATAAAAAATTGCTGCAAGCTACTTTGAAGCTGACAGTTTGCATATTGTGCCAAAAGTAGGACACGAAGCTATCCATATTATGGGGAAATTATTCAAGAGATTACGTCGAGTCAGACTAGGCGCTCGCACGACTGCGTGCGCATGCAATTACAGCGCTGCATCGATCAACAAGCAGCAGTGAATAAAGCTTCTTATGAGATACCTCAGCATTCTTATGCGTTTTTCCAGACAATCGTAATCACTTATCAGTGATACAGCGAGCTCGATCAACTTGGCCTCTCGAAAATATCTATTTTCCGCAACTGACTCCGTTGAAAGCAGAGTGAGACCAGTGCGACAGAGGGTCATTTGCACGGACTTTTTGTAACGGTTCGTCCTCTCAGCCGATATCGCCGCTTTGCCGCGCGGCAGTGTCGCACCTCTCTCCCTCTTTTTGTCTACATAATATTCGCGACGATGGTAAATCGTCAAGGGAAAATGGTACAAGCGCTCGCGCACCTATCCGAATTCCTGCAGCGCCGCGCGATATTAGTTGTCGCCTCAGCGCCTGGTCAACGGAGCGCGCGAGCGACAACTATATGTCGATTCTACGCGCACGCTTCGTCGTTTCGACCGTCTATTTCATCAGCATAAATGTTACGACGTCGTAACTTTGAAAACGGTTTTTCAGCGGTAGCTGCCAAGCCTCGCTAACCAACCACATGGAATCAGGATTTTTATCTCGTTTGTCGCGTGTAATGAAACGCATGTGGATGCCTCGGCTCTTGCTGAGTTTTACGTGACACGTGCTTTTCTTTTCATACCCGAATCTCACCGGGCTTACAAGTTTTTCTGAATTCGGGCCAGCAGTTTCATTTTATTTAGAGCTCAAGACATTTTTTGGCTTAATTTTTCAATAAACTTTTCCTCTGATCACATGATTGTCTTAATAATAACAACTATCTAATTAGGCATCAAAATATATCCATGGTTTTTGATTCAAGAAAGAAACGCTAACTTAAAATTAAAAAAAAAATAAGCAAAATAATCGAATCCATCAAAGAATAAAATGAATTGACAATTGCCGTACAGTTAGAAAATATATATCGTAAAAAATCTCAAGTTATTTTTAATGGTGACTATAATACGCTTATTATTAATCGTAGTAAAGTGCCAAAAAACTTAATTCTTGACAATTTATTTAAATACTAATTTTGTTCTATAACAGTATAAATAAGTATCATTCATCTGTAGAATTATTTCAAATTGTAAGATTGAAAGAAAATCTACGGAAGTTTCTAACGGATCGAAAACTATAAATTATTAAAAAAATTTTAATTTATACTTCTTATAGTTCTGTTTACAAAAATTACTTATTAGACTCGTTCAATTAGTTTAATATATAGTAACATTTATTAATATATGATATTAATATATGGTAACATATATTAACTTAATTACGTGTAAGTATTTATGTAATATGGAGAGTTAAACGTTAAATAAGCATAATCAAACTCTAAATTATATTTAAATGGATTGAAAATCTTTGTAAATGGAGCAGGTTAATGTGCGTGTTCTTCAGTGGCTTTTAATATTTTGTTTTCAGTATAATTTTGTTAATCGTTCAAAAAAAATATTGCCTTGCGATAGTGTACTACCAAATTGAATTACTGAAGAAAATGCGATAAAACTTAGCTCACTATTATATTCATGCACTAGAAAGACAAAGTTAAAATTTTTGACCTCAGAGTTATTTCTGAGTTAATATATCACTGGCTTATTTTAGACACCCATATGGTATCAATTGGGATAGAGTCCTTTTACATCCATCTTTTCGTACAATTATAAAATTAATGGCGATATATCTAAAAAAACTAGGTACAAATAAATTTAATGATTTTTTTAACTTTACAGAGGTCAAATTGGTTAAACTGCCTGAAGATACGACGCTAGCTGGATTTACGCCACTAATGTCCATTCCTCAGTATCCGTTTTATGCCGACAAAAAAGAAGATATTGTGAGTTTTAATATATTTGTTTACTTCAATATTATATAAATAGAGTCTACTCTAAAAATAGCTCAATCCGGCTCTCATTTGATATAATATGACAGATTTAATAATAACTTAAGCAAACTTCATGTAAATACTTAATTTTTTCGAAATATTTGTAATAACGTAAATGATATTTTAAACCCCGGTTGAATACTGCAAACGATATCAGTGTAAATAACTGCTCCTTCACTAACCCTAATGTATGTGTAATGAAAACTTAGACGCTTTTAATAAAATGACTTTTATGCAAAAGTTTCAGGATTATATTTAGTCTTCGTTTTATGGTCAATATACTTGATCTTACAATGTAACGACTTGAAAATAATTTCGGAAAACTATGCAGATTAGTTCATTAACTTTATAAAATATTTAGTTTTAAATTTCCACGTCAAAATACAGAAAAAAATTGCATCTACCGTTCAATTTAGTCATTATCATCAACACAATGTTTGTCAATGAAATTAAACAATTATGTCTTGATTTGTAACAGGAATTAGTACAAGTCTGCTCACGAATAAAAAAAATCTTGTTCTTCGGACAAGAATTCCTCTGTGGTCTGGAGATACCAGTGTTGAAGTTGCAAAAGAACGAACGAGGTGAAAGTGAGTACGTGTCTGTAGTGGAGACGTCCAGCATCAGTTCCCCGGGCTCGCCGCATGGTCAGGTAAATTGGCAACTCCTACATTGCAATAATTTTCGTCGCTGGCATAAAATACGAACTATCCTGCAAGCCATGGTTATTACGGCAAACACCTCGTAAATCTCGATACCACCGTATAATGTAACTTATCGCCGTTGATTTTAATTTTTGACGTATTGTACCTGTGTTTAACGAGTTTTCTAATTTTTCTCTGCTCCCTTTGCACAATTAACATTATACACCATGTATTTGAACGTGTTTGGAAAAAAAATTTGCTTGGCGCGTATATCAATGCTAGGTGAATATTTTTACATGAATATTGATATGTCATATAAATACTCGTATGGTTTCGCTATGTAAATGTGTGCGAATAGGGAAAACAGATCAAATGATTTTTACAATTAATTATTGAAAAAATATATACTGATAGTCATTGTTGTTTGCAGAATGATACCGATATCTTGGTAGAAAGCTTCAGCGAAGATGAAGACGAAGACGATTCCTCGCTGAAAGTATCGAAGCTGCCGGACAGCAGTGACGGTTTAACCGTTGCTGTTGGTGGAAAGCCAACGAAAGATCATCAAAGACAGCGAGTTCAGGTGAGTTTCATGTTTTTAAGTCATTATATCAAATAATCATATACTTATATTACTCACTGAATTTTTATAATTGAGTACTGTGTTAACAGTATTGAATATAAAAATCAAATTACACGTATGTATTACTGTTACGTTCGTCAGAGCTACGTTTTCTGCAATGACAGTATTTTACCAAAATTCAAACAGCAAACAAAATACACGTACTAAATATTTTAGTCAGGTCGTTATCTACAATCCATAATTTTTCGATAATCTCAGCACTTGGTCAATGTATTGCTGAATTGTTCGTAATCCGAGTTTCTTTACCGGCTAAACTTTTCGAGTAAATTTTCATCGCAGCCATATATTCTGCTCTTATTGTCGCATACCATGTGAGCCACGCATGCACTAACACATTTATAGCCACACACATACGCAAAAGTAGCTACATATGTGGGCGATAAATCCAGAGAGCAAGCGAGTGCGCCAAAAAAACGTTGATAACGGGCAGTCACTGAGGACTAGGAAGAGAGGAAGAGAGAGAGAGAGAGAGAGAAAAATATTACGCGCATACTATATTATAGCTAGAGCGAACGTTTGGAGGAGAGCGGAAAATACACACACATTTCGTCCGAGCCAGAGCGAAATTCGCCGTGTGGTAGTTTTCGTTTGTACGGAAACGTGTTGCGCTGCCGCTTTTGTCGCAGCATGTTTTTCATCTCAAAAGTTCCTCTGCCGGTCGGATGATATATAAACGGTTTGTACGAATAACAAAAGGATCCGCTTTACATTAAAGCACTTTAAACCGCGTTTAGTTTTGAAAAGACATTGGGGCTTGAAATGTCCAGTTTTCTCGTACTACCTTCTCTCAATAATTTTTTTACGTATGAAATGTATTATTTATTTTGCATTGTTTGCTATTTTGATACTATTTAAACCTTAACATTGAATATCTTTGCATTTATACCACTAATCCCATTTCTAGTTAGGTAGGCACAAATAAAAATTGTGATTGAACTATTCAGTTTGATGATAGAATCGCTATCTTTAAGCTACATTTTTTAAACCCAAGACATTAACTTCTCTCTGAATTAATATTATTTTAAATCTAATGTGCAGTGGTTAAAAAAATAACTCGTGTATATTAAGCTTGTATTTTTTTTCTCTTTTTTTCAATAAAAATACGTAAGTCGATGTCTTTTTACATACTTTTTTAAAACGAAAGAATACGCCGAGAAGATTCATTAAAGTGGGGAATATTTTTTTTTTATTGAAAAACACGATCGTCTCGTTTAGTTCCAACTTTGCTGATGTTCAAGGGACCTCCCATTCTGAAAAAATACTGTCTTTTTTATCTCATATTCAATTTTTTTATCGTTCTCCTTTGATGGGCTCAAAGTTCGTTAGTAAAAGACCCGATCATTTGAAAAATTGCCGTATATTGAAATTGCTCATTACAGTTAGATGTCTCGATAAAATTCACTGAATGTCAAAAATCGATGGCCCATTCACCTGTATATTCACACAGGTGCATTTGTGGTTCAGAGATGTATAGCTAATAGCTTGCATGTATACATCATTTATAAAGAGCTACTACCTCGACGAAATATGGGAAAAGATTTATGAGCCACCGAGCATATATTTAAAGTAAAGAGAAATTGATTTATCGAGATACGAATCTAACTCTCTTCCCCGTGATTCGCATTGCGTCGTAGGCCGTTGCACTTTCCTGTATACTATATATGACTATATATGTAGCGACTCGTGTCGTAGTTGCCTTAGCAGAGCTGTGCCGTTGCGCGCGACCGATTCGATAATACGCGCATCTCTTCAGCGAATTTCCTCGAGATTAGATGGCTATTTATAGAGTCCCTACGACTGTTAAAGCTACTTAGTACAGTAAAATATTTAATTCGCGCCTAATGCTAAAATATGCGACAGCTTTAACTTGCAGGTATTAATTTTAATCGTTATATGCGTCTCGTATACTGACTCGCCTTTTTGTATGATTAATTTTTGGCGAGTGTTGCACGGCTCTGCAAATCGTTGATCGAAAAATGAGCTTCGAACATCATCATTTATTAATATTGAATTTCGATAGCCTAATGACTGGAGGTGGACGTGTACCGCCAACCAAAAATGATGCCTCGTAACGCCTCTTGGGCCTGCACCTTACTTGAAATATTAGTGACTACAAGTTGGCGAATTCTTTCTTTCGAGATACTGACAAACATCTCCACCCGACGTGGCTCTTTTGCCTCGTGCGCGCATTCTCCCCTCGTGCTCATAGTGGAGCCCATCGAATGTTATTTTCTTTGTTCGAAGGCTCGTCTCGCTGATGAATCTGTCCAAAAGATGCATAAGCAGGTAAAAAACCAGCGAAAAAAAAGCAAACCGATCATACATCAAAGTATCAAATGGTGCTCGCGATGATAGTGCCTAAGCTTAAGACGTGTAAAGTTAGTAATTGCAAGGTAGGCGACTGCAGTAACAGCAGAGTAAATAGCAGTGTAGGGGCAGGGTAGGCGCGGGGTAGGAGCGAAAATCGCGACGAGGACGAAAAAAAAGAGTCGTTTTCATTTGACGAAAATGTAGTGCCGAGTGCGGCGTGTAGTTTGTTTCAAGTACAAGACTCGCCCTAATTTGCTTGCTAACAGTCATAAATAACAAGCAGGCAGCATCGTTAAATTGCGCAGCTCGTAAATCAAGTCCAGGCGCGAGCGCGAGAAAACACGAATCAGCAGAGGTCATGAGTGCCTACTGCGGCTTGTGCAGTGTGTGTGCACCGACCGCCAGTCCATGCGCTATCTACGCGCGAGTGTGTGTGTGTGTTTGTGTGTGTTTGTGTACGCGCGCAGATTGAGTCGTCTCTTTCTCACCTATTTAACTCTATACAGCGTGCGGCTAAGCTTGTGTGACGGTGTCAAGCGCTGCACACGTGCATAGACGACTGCGAGTACAGCATGTGTGCGTGTATACACGAGTTTGTCTGTGTTTTACCAACGACGTGTCTCTGCGATATAAGTGCTCGCGCGTACTTACGTACACCATATATATACAAATATGAGTTTGCTATCGAGTCTCACGAGCTGTGTAAGCCTGCCATTTTTCGTACTCGAACTCCGTCCGTGGCCATGTGTACTGCGTACTGCTCCGCCATGGTCTCCCCTGTGCGTCGCGTGCGCTAGCCGAGCGAAAGCCACTGCTCGAGGCGCACCCGGAAGAACTAGTTCTAAGCTAGGGGGCCTTTTTCTACTCCGCGTCCGTATGGAGGAAAATCGTCCCGAATGATCTGCTGTCGTGTTGATGAATCACGCCCGCTGTCTGCGTTCCTCCTGTATATGCTCCTTATGCATCGCGAGAGTAGCGAATTTCGCACATGTGTGTCATGTGCGCCCTCGCCAATTGTACCGTAAGCTTCGTGCGCTAGCTCTGGCGCTGTTCCGCCTGGAATTTAATGTCAGCGAAGAAAAATTCGCTGTGAGCTGTCGAGTCGCGCTTTTTTCACCCAATATATAAGTGTGTATGCAAAATGACTGTATTTCGGTTGACGACTCCGAAAAATAAACCATTTGTCAAGGCGCTTTTGTGTATTAGTTACATTCCTCTCTCTCCCCACGGTTAAATTTTTAAAGTTAATTAAGTTTTGTTGTTAAAATTATGTTGTAATAATTAAATACATTTTTAAATTATTCTTCAAATGACTATTCAGTTGTTTCAAAATATTTAGATTAGCTCTATCAACACTTTAAAACGCGATTATACCACTTCGAGCTTTCACCACTAGATGGCGAGTATCTTCGTCTGTAAATCCGCAAGTGGCAAAGTGAAAATAAATGTATAAGTCAATCCACGGTGTCATTTATAGTTAATATTATCTTTCCAAGGGACCTCTCGTTGTTCAAAAAATAGTCATAATATATTGATCATTTATACTAGGGAAACTCTCTGCCGTTATTGAGTAGCGTTAGTCAGTTCAGCGACCCTAATGATCAATGTCATATTGTACAGTCATTTTCATTGTTTTTAGTTTTCCCACAAATCGACTGAAATGGCGCCAAGATTATACGGAGCTGTGCCAACTCTTGTATATAAGTAATTATATTACGCCTCAGCATGTGCATTGCGCCGAAGCAGAACAAAGAAGCAAATTTGCGAGGTCATAATGCTTTTCGTATAGGCATATTTCGTGATATCACTGGTGTCTTTGTGCAACTCTTGTAATAGCTACGGCATTGAAAAGCGCAATGCTGAATATGTGTAGCAGCTCGTATCGATCTCAGTAGGCTCGCAGGAATAGTCAAAATTGATCACAAGTCGGCGCATCATTTGAGTAAATGCGAGGATTAGCGAACGCCTCGCTAAATATCTTGCGGCCGTTCTCGTGCAGCACGGGCACACTCGCATTGTAGCTGAAAATCTCTGTGGAACAGCGCCGAGCGCGGTGTATTGTCGTCGTCACTCGCCTCTTGTCGACATTTAATACGAGCCGTGTATTATATGTGCGCTCGCTCGCTCGCTCGCGCCCACTTATTATTAACCAAAGCCTTACAATTATAGTTATTTATTAAATTACCCTCGTTGTGTGCGCTGGATACCGTCTCGTTCGCGGCGGCTGCGCACTCGCGTAGAGCAGCTCTACGAGGAGGACGCATTAGTCGAACAAAAAAAATATTTAGCTGAAAACAAGTGCCGATTTCCGCAGAGCGTCGGCTTATAAGTCGGCTTGGCCATCCACATAACGGCGTAAATAAAGTACCAACGGAACTTTTAATAACGCTGCGATTTTTCGAGAAAGAACGCGAGTCCATGATGGTAAAAGCTCTCGCGAGCCGATGCATCGAATTTACACTATCTGCGAAGACGATGGGATCGATCGAACCTGCGTGCGCGAAATTCCTACAAGTTTGGCACTAATAATGTTTCAAGTGATAAGATTTTTGATTGAGAAATAAATTTTGGCTCCTAGTTCGGTAGGGTTAGTACAACTACTAGATATTATACACGTAGGCTATGTTCAG